ATTAATCCATTTCTCTTTCAACTTTTGGGACCAGAAACTCATGACAGCTTTACATGTAGTAATATATTCTTGGCAAGCTTCTTTTTCTTCAAGTTGTAGAGCCTCATTCACGGGATCTTGTCTCAAAGCTTCCTGTATCTCTACTATCTTCATTTTGCACACCTCTTCCTTTTCCTCTATTCTTGCAAAGTACTTCCTGTTGAAGTCTCTAAGTACTGATTTTAGCATTTTTTTTTTGCTTCTTTACCAGTATAAACTGATTGCTCCCTTCCACTTGACTTCTCCGTCCTTGATTAACAGTTTCCTGAAACTCTGGATGATGTGTCCACATATTGAAAAACTGAAATGTTCTCTTCACTTGCTGATTGGCATCTCCCCACCTTACCAATATTGGATTGTGGTCAGTTATACCAGCTAGAAGTATTGTACCATATGTATCATTGAACTCCTGTAGTCATTCCTTATTCATCAACACTCTATCTAGTTTGGAGAATATTCTCATTTGTCCTATCTGCTTATTAGTCAATGTGAATACTCCTCCATGCATTTGCATTTCCCACCATTCATTTTCCTCAATTACTTGTTTAAACTTCACTGCATCAGAACTGATATCTGACTTCCTCCCAACTTCTCTTCATGTTTAAGTATACAGTTAAAATCCCCCATGATTAGCCATTTTCCTGTCACCTGGTTGTTGAGCCTTTTAAGCTCATCCCATAGTCCATCTCTCCTTGTTACATTGTATTTTGCATATACTATGGTTAGGAAAAACTGCTTACTTGTTCCTAGTTCCTTCACATAGTAGTGAATATATTGCTGCTCTATTTTCTCCACCCTTATCTCAAATTCCCCTTTCTTCCACAATAACAGTATCCTGCCTTTACTATCTCCTTCATTATTGTCTTTATACTCAAACTATTGCCACTTCTTTTGCATTAGATCATCCAACCTTTCCTAATTAATCTTTGTTTCTAATATGCATGCTATTCCAACATTATTCACAGTGAGATAATTTGCTACATTCCCGTGCTTCAGGGGACTAAATAGTCTCCTTACATTTCATGTCAAATATGTTATTCATATTGCTAGGCCTTGGATCAGGGTGACTAGAATCTGAGTAACATATGCTATTGACTGACCTATTTCTTTCACATTGCCTTCCTTCATTCACTTTTTCTCCTTTCTGATTCAGTATTTGAATTCCCTCTTCAACTTGCTGTGGCTGGTTCCTCTTCCAGTTACCAACTGATCTACTGCCATTCTCACTAGTTTTTGGACTGCTAGGAATTATTCTATTAGGTTGGCCCAATTTTAGCTGGGGACTTCAAAATCTTACCACGTTCTTCTACGACCACTTTTTCCTTGCCTTTACTTACAGCTTGTAGAGGATCAGACATTTTCACTAGTTGTTCTGTTTCCTTCTGTTTCCATCCTTTCACCACTGGCATTCTACATTCTGAGTTAGTATGCCTATATCCAAGACAATTTCCACATTTCACTGGTTTTCATTCATATTTCACTTGTTGCTCCTTAAGGATTCTATTTTCATCTTCAAGCCAGATAGATTCTTTTACCTTTTCCTTTATCTCAACCTCAACCAACACTATTGCAAAGACTGGTCTCTGCTTATTAGATGTCATGTCATCCATTTCCACTGGCCTTCCTACCATACTTGCCAACTTACCAAGTATAGATTCATTCTAATATCTCAGTGGCTGCTTAGGTAGTTGAATCCAAACAAGAACTGTTTTGATATCAGACATCTTTACTTCATCAATTACTGTCCAGTCCTTAACTATAAAAGGTCTTCTATCAAATTGGTAAATTGGATACTTAAGAACCTCCTCCTTTGCAACTATTGTCTTGAATCTCACAATGAATATACATTCTCCAACAGAAGAATCTTATCCACACCAACTCTACCCCAAATCCGCCTGATATACCTATTCATCACAACAAAGGTGGATTCGCACCTAGCACATAACACTGAATAGCAGGCTTCCAATACTCAATCTCTGTTTGAACTTCATCATGAGTGGTTTTACTTATCTCACAATCATTGATTATCCGAGGCTCTACAAATCAAAGCTTCTTTTCTTGAGGCTTAAGCATTTTCACATCAAATTGATCCCAAGATTTAGTACTTTCAACTGTTTTCTTGATAATTCTAGTGCTAGATGCATTGCCTTTTACTTCTGGTTCAATTTACACAACAATTATACGTTGATTCCCTAATTTTCCTAGCATTAATTGCGATTCGGACATGGTATTAAATGCAGGGTTAGGGTTCCTAACCTGATTTGAAGAACCTTGAGCTGAGTTTGCTTCAAATCGCACACAATTTCCTATCTGAGCTTCCTTCTTGAGCTTCCTTCTCGCCAACTTCCCCCTTCTTCTTGGATTTCTTTGCCATGGCGGACGAATTCGTCAAAGAAAATCGTTTTTTGAAGAAACACGCACTTCAGGGTGTAACCGCCCCTAGTACGTAAGAGAAACCGTTTTTTTTTTTCGCGAGCAAAAGTACTGAGATGAAAGTTGCATGTTAGAAAACAATATTATTGGTGTTTCTTACAATTGGATCATTCTAGTTTAGATTTTCAGGCATTCCGCCACCTTTCTTTGTATTAAAAAAAAAAGAGAGAGAGAGAGAGAACGGTGAAATTGAAAAAACTGTATTTAATGGTTGCAATAGATTGAAAAAAAAAATTAGATTCACTCTAAAGCGACAAATTAAAAAATAGAGCTGGTATTAGTTAGCGATTAGAATAGTTTACTTTTAATTTTCCCCTTAATCACAATTTTTCATACAAGATTCGATCGCTGAACAAATAATATTTCGTATTCAATTACATTGTTATATTTCGTATTCAATTACATTGTTTTATTATCACCGTGTCTCATCAACTAACGAAACTACAACCGGAATCTTCCGAGCCAATCCCCCACCACGAGTGAAAAAGATTGTGATTCCAAATAACCACAAAAAAAAAAAAAAACGGAACGAAAAGAAAAAGAACAGTTTTATTCCTTAATTGGTGTGCCACCCAATTTGCCTATATATCGTGTATTTTTTTCACTAATTATGAATAAATTAAATCCGTACACAAAAAAGGGGGAGAGGAAGGTATGTACGAACATATCTCAAGATGGCAGCATATTTACTTTATGCTTAGATTCTTCTTGACCAGTATTTTGTTCGATGCTTTCACATGACGGATAAATACGGTACACTGATCAAAATAAAGGAAATCCCGTGAAGCCGTCCCTCCCTCCTAACCGACCTTATCAAATGTTCCTTTTTGGAGAAAGATGCTTATTACGAATTAAGATAATCCATATATGTGTATATGTAGTTCTATCTGAAAAATCAATAACACTGAGAAAAATAACATATGGAACTTATATGTTAGTTAAGTTACCATTTTCAATATTGAACAAGTGTTATTGTTTTCAAGTTCAAATGAGATATTAACACCCTTCTTTTAATGTCAATAATGCCTCTTTGAACAATCGAATTCGGAATAAACTGTCGAGTCAGTCAAATCCCATTATAACCATATATAAAAGCCCAATACGAGTAATCAAACTTCTTGAATATACTGTCGGTACTCTGTCGGGCCAATAAAAACAGATAAACCGTCGGATCGGTCAAAGTCCACCTACATATCCACACAACGTACGAAACTCACTGTGATACCATCTTAAAGATTCATACAAACCCATATGTGGTTCTAATTAGTAATGAGGAGAGTATCACATATAACTTATATATTGGTCAAGTTGAGTTTCTATTTTTTTATGTAAGAGAAGTATCTTTCACTTGTTTTCAAGTTTCTTTTCAAAAAAACTTGTTTTCAAGTTCAAAGTGAATTTTAATAATTTGCCGTTTCCTTTTCTTTTAATTTTTTTTCTTTATTCTCGTTCAAAGATTACACGAGAATTTAATTGATTTTTTTAGAACAAATGATCAAAACGAAAAGAAAAATCGAAAAAGGAAAAAAAAATAGGAATCCGACAAAGTTGATACAAAGTTGCAAACCCTTTTGAACGAAATCGGCATGTTCAAACATTGTCTTTTATGAAAATTTAGTTTCATTACTAAACAAATTATAACGTACAGACTGTCTAGGTAAATCATGACGTACAAACATTGTTATATGGCTATAGATACTACTGGTCCAAACAATTTTGCATATGCACCATTAATAGCGATCTCGAGTCTCAGCGTAAAAACTCATGATGTAATAAGGTACAAGATTGTATCATACATTTACGTCACCAGAAGGACCTAGTAGACATGTCCTAACCACTACCAATACACGTAGAAAAAGGATAGTATATATATTCCACTTCCCTTTCAAATTATTCAGTTTCATTTTTGCCATAAATATTCTTGAGTTCATTTTCACGTTCCATGCACTACGAGGAACCTTTGATATAAATCGTAGGTTCAACTTCTTTTTTTTTCAATCCTACTGTCAAAGTCCATTCTTTGCTAATAATCTAAGAACTTCGTTATAATTAAACATAAGTCATGCTGCAGCGACTAAAGATATTCTTCAAAAGTGGATACATATGAAACATTAATGCTTTCAAAAGGAAAAAAAAAATGGTTACTTTGGATTAAAGATGTCCATGGATTAAAGCAACAAAAAACTTCTACCGTTTTTATTTGCATTGAACTATGAAAAATAAAATTTTGAATTCGACGTATGAACTATGAAAGAGTAATGTTTCAACACATCTTAATACCCATTGATAAGGACAACTAATTAAGTCGTAATGTTTCAACATGATGCTTGACCTAGATGATGATCCATTCCCAACATTGGATTTGTATTCATTTCTAATCTCCATACCAGGGAAGGAACCTGAATAGATCATGATTTGTTTCTTCAGGCCACAACTTCAACTTGATGTATCTCAGATATACCCGATTGTTCCTGATGTTAATAGAAATTGAAGCAAAAAAAAATTATGGGGGAAAAAAAGAAATAGACCTCAAAGTTAAAGGTAATATACCATTAATACAATTTATTTCTCGAAAATATGACTAATCAGTCAAGAGTTAAAGGTAATCTCAGCTCAAAACCATCAACATCAAACTCGCAAATCTTCTCCATTGAAAATAATTTGCATGGAGAATAATTAAGGGAAAAAAAACTACTTGTGTAGAATCTCACAAAACAAGATTCAAACTTTTAAACCTATCCTCATCACCACCTCAAAGTGGTTTTCAAAAAAGAAAGAAGACAAACATAAGCAAAACCACTAAATTTGGTTTTGTTTGGGATCACTTAAATGATATGTGAGGATGCATGATCACATCCAAATTGCCTTAGAATTGATGAGTAATGGCTTCAACTTCCCTTGAACATTAAGGCTCATAACCTCATTGGCACCACCAACAAACAGCTTCCCAATGAAGATTGCGGGTACAGTAGGGCTACATCCTAATGCAAGCAATGCATTCTCAATCTGCCTCCCTTGTGGATGCTCATCAAGATTGTAAACCATTGGATTCGCGCCGAAGCTGGAAATCAACATCTGAATGGAATGAGAAATGCAACAATTACTCTTACTGAAGATCACCACCGGCTTCTCCGAAGCCAATCTCCTCAATGCTTCCATTTTCTTTCTTTTGAGAAATATGCGACTTAAATGAGATGTAATTGTATAATGAGCTACTTGACTTAGGGCAGTGGTAGTTTAAGGCTTGCCTTGAGTACTACAGCATGAACTAAATGCAGGTATATATAGAGGTTTATTGAGAATTGAGAGAGATGGATTAATTTGAGAAATTTCATTTTAAATGGTTCTTTTTGATAGAATGGTAAAAAGGGTTAGCAGAGATTCTTGTGGAAAAAGTTTATGCTCGGATCATATCAGGAAGAACAGGTATACAATATAGGATAAAAGTTTGATGGATGTGTCTTTGTGTCTGTAGAGAATCTTGATGATCAACTTGCATGACATTTTTTTGACGTTAAACTTTACATATTGAACACATGTGGGTATGGTAGATAGATGATGATCACAACTTTTTGGCCTTTACTGGATTTAGATTCTCGAAGTGGTAGGTTCATAGGTGATGGATTTTATCATTAGACATGCCAAAAATCATGAATTATTCGTAAAGCCGATCAATATTGTTAAATGATACTCCCTTCGTCCCAAAAAAATAGTTCACATTGAGTTTTGAGTTTTGTACTGTTTTTAGTACAAATTTGAATACTCAATGTGAACTATTTTTTTGAGACTGATGTAGTATGTATGATAACACTGGTTTTCAACATGCATTAGTGAAATGGACTCGTTACATCATTACGACGATATATGCAATCTTTTAGTTGTTTTTTTGGGCAAAGCTCAAAACATGAAACCAGCAATTCATCATTTCTTCTTCTAACTTATGCTCAACCTATAAGCTTGTCAATAAAAATGTCACAAGACGGATTAAACGTGTTCATACTAAGTGAATTAAATCAGTTGCAAATAATAATATCAATGATTTTGTGCTTTCGCATGATCTATTTGAAGTATATGATATACGTTGAGTTTGGAATTCGTACCTATTTTTTACTCATGAATTGCATTGAGATTGTAGGATCGATTCTCAATGCTTTATTTCCCTTTTCAACGTTACGGTAGCTTATCCTGCAGGCTGCAGCTTTACATTTTCTTTGAGCATAAATGGACCATAAGTTTGTTTTAAGATGCTGATGACAGATTTATTCGATCGCATCAGCTGCTTTAATTTTTCAATACAATACGTTACATACATTCATTTGATGAATACATTGAATAATTAATGTAATGTATAGTTATCAATCAATGCCCATGTTGAAGTATATATCATTAAAATGTTGGAAAAAGTTATTTAAAAAGAAAAAGAAAAATACTGAGAAAGCTAGTCACTCATCGGAATCCCCCTAATCGATGAGATATGTCGTTGCAATAAAATAAATGCTACGTAATTAGTAAATCCATCTTATCTGCCTTTTTTAAAAAAAAATTAATTCAATAGACGAATAAACAACTAATCCGTTTTATTTGTACCGTCTCATCTACTAACAAAAACCGACCACATGTGAAACAAAAAGATTTTGATTCCAAAGTAAAAAAGATTTTCTGTAATTTCCTAGTTTTTCTGCCAACCGATTTGGCTATATTTTGACTAATCACTACCAAAAAAAATTCGTACAGGAAAAGAAGGAATGTACTCACGTCAAGAAGGCCACATATATTATATATAGATTCTCTCATTTCTTTGACCACTATTTTTTTTTTTTTTGTTCAGATGCTTTTCTTAGATTTCCTTCACATGATAAACACATCACAGTAATGGCAGAAAAAGGAAACACCCATGAAATCATCCCTCCAAACCGACCTCATCAAATGTTCCTAACAAAGATGCTTATTGATATAAGTGGTGTTCCCCCTTTTCTCTTTTATACTTTTTTGTGGAAGTGGGGAGGATATAACCGATAGCCCTAATTATTTATTACCTATGATAAGATAAGCATATCGTGTTTTCTTTTGTAGTTAAAATGGAACTTGGTGAACATGTCTCACTGTCTTATATAAATAGAAAATAAAATACCTAATTACAATGCTTGAGGCTTACCAAAAAAAAAATAAGCATATCAATTGTCTTTGGACGTGACAAATTAGCAATATATGGTGTTTAGCGTATGATAAACGTCCTACCTAGATGTATATCACGCATATTCCAAAGCACGTAATGGATTCTCCCAAGCTACAATAATAGTGTATTTTTATAATTTTACTTGAGATGGGTCACGACTAATTTTGTATCTGTCTTATCATATTACAATAATTAGATAACATTAAACTCGCACACGTTTGATTTTAAGAATTCAATGATAGAAATTATAGTATTTTTAAAAGATAAATGGAGTTTTTAAAAAAAAAATTTTAAAAAAGAGTATTTTTTTCAATTTTCCGTATACCTTGATAATTGATGAGTGTCATATACAAAATGATTACAGAAATTATATAAGTTAGAACAAGTGGAGGACAAAAAGAAAAATAAGTATTACATTTATATTCAATGCGACAAAATTTGGTTAGATATTGGCAAAATAGTTCTATACATTGAACATTCATATGACCGAGAAAGTTCATTGTATGACAACTTATGTTGTATTCATGCATGATATTTTACTTCTTTCATCCTATTTAATTAATTCCTTTTGTTTATATTATTTTGATTTAACAAAATGTATAATAAAAAAGGACACTCGGTAAAAGTATCTCTTTTTCAAATTACTGTCACAGGCTTTTTATTCTACACTGACGTGGTGTTATGGAAGGATTACATTGTCGTTCGTTTTATTGGTGGAAGAGGAGAAAGGAAGGGATTCATTTTGCAAGGATCGTTAGAAGGTTTTTTTACTGGAAAAAGGAAAATAATCCGGAAAGCTATCTTTCATATGATCAATCCAGAACAAGGAATTCATGCAAAATGCAAACCCTTTTGATGTTAACCAATACTGGCCAATGAGGGGGTGGCCTAGCGGCAGAGGCCCTAGCATCCAGCCGCGTGATCGCGGGTTCGAACTCTCACGGGAGCGATTTATCGCTGGCCAGCTTTCGTGCAAGATAGGAAGCAGCAACAGTCGAAGGAAACACCTTTCAAGAGATCAAGTAGATTAGGCATGCACGCGTGAAGTCTCCCCTTAGTAATAGTAGTTTCTCCTTTCCATAAACATCACTCATGTAATAATCCAGGAGTACAAATGACAGGAGAACTCTCTTACTTCTAAGTCATCCGATGAGTGTATATATTCTTTAGAAGTACAAATGACAAAATCCAAAATAAAGTGGTTCGAGTAAACATTTCAATGGACTAAGCTTCGACCGCATGGCATCTTATAGGCACCCAAGAGATGGTCACTTCAATCCCATTGTAAATTGGAAAGGTAAATCGTAGTAAAATTCTACATATGAACTAACAAATTGTAATGTTTCCACACCTTAATAACCATCAATAGGAACAACAGAGTTGTAATGCTCACCAAGACCAAATGCATGCCGATGGTAAGAAAGTTTGATGCTTGACTTAAATGATGAGCCATTCCCAGCATTGGATTTGTATTCGTTTCCCATCTCCACATCAGGGAAGGATCCTGAGTAGATCATGATATGTTTCTTGAGGCAGTGAGTGAGTGCGCCGAGTTCTAACTGTCCACCCCATGCTGCGGTTGACTCCACGTCTTTACAATAGCTTTCAAACCTCTCTGTAATGTTATCATCAGATTCTCCATCTTCGGCATTCTCAGAAAGGAAAAATGGGAGAAAATCAGAAGCATGATTCCTCATATAGTTTGCCACCATTTGCCGGAGTTGTTGAAAAGTATAAGGGGAAGAACCTCCTGATTGGAGGGCAAGCTGATCTTCAACAGCTCGATAGAGACAGTGACCATCTGGCTTTATCTCATTAATTGCCAAGCCAAGGGGCTCGAGCTTCTTTTCTAACTTCTCATTCTCTGAAACTCTCTCACTTACTATGTTACTCTGCTCTTCTTGAATTCTTTGTTCCCTGGCAGCTTCTTGTTGAGCTCTTTTCTCACGCCTCTGAACACTCTTGCTGGGCCTTGACCTTTCAACTTTATTAGTGACTGTAACTCCAGCTATTGCATTCACCAAACTGTCTAGTTGACCTTTTTCTTTACCATCACTGTTGCCGTAACCAACTGAGGCAAGTTCCTCTGCATGCTTTTGTTTCAGCTTTGCAGAAAGATTGGATATTTCATCCTCCACTTGTTTCTTCTTCACTTTCTGCTCAGCCTTACTGCCTTTAGCCGCCGCCTTTTTCATTGCGGTTTCCTTGTTCTGCAGTTCGGAGATCTCCTTCCTGAAGCAAGAGTTCACAGATAATGAGCCAAAGTAGAAACATGTAGGAGAACAACACAATCGAAACAAGCCACAATGTTCTCTAGCTGCTCAAGTTATAATAATATCCTTCTAAAAATTCAAGAAACTTTGTGAATGCTGCTGAATTGACTCTGCAACATACACAAAAATGAAATTTTCCAAGCTCCAAGCAGTTAACCGTGCAGTTTTAGGATGTTAGACAACAATTGAGGGAGATAAACTGACACAGTAGATTACAGCATCATGAAACAAAGTCAAAGGTCCAGGATTGCAGGAAATGGCAATGGATATAAAACAATAAGGATAAAAATTTTAACACAGAATGAAAGAGATAAATACAAGGAGCTTAACAACACACTTGGACAGAAGCAAACAGCAGAAAACAGAAAGATACAGCACCTATGCCTAGAAAGCATCTCTTCACGGGTTTCCTGCAGCACATTTTCAGAGATGTCCTGAGATGGCTTATTGTCCACCTCAGGTGTGTCCATTTGGAGCTCTACATGAAAACAAAAACAGTGTCAGCTTTAAAACAAACATCGCATTTGATGAAGATAAAACAAAATAAGAAAATCATATAAAACTGCCGATCCCAAGATCTGTTGAGACGAAAATCATGTAAAAAATCACAAAATTTCCAATCCATCTCTGAAGAAATTTTATTTGCAGTAGTAGGATATTACTTGTGTATAAGATGACAAAACCCCCCGAATCCCGCCCCCCCAAACCAAGAAAAAGATAAGACAAAAACAATGAATGTGTTTTGGATCACTTTTCACAAAGAGAGGCAGCTTGATTTATAGAAGTTTCCACAATGTGCAGGACCAAGGAAGGTTTAACCATAAATGTGTAATATAACTATTTATAACAAAGGTTGTTTCAAAGATGGACATGTAACAAGGGGGTCACACGAAACAACTCTTGACACAGCGCCAACGCTCCTTTAGACAAATAATTATTAATGCTAAACGGAATCTAACAGACAACGGCTCAAAATAAAAGAAAAAAGACTTAAAGTCTTAAACACCAACCAAAACCCCCAAAAGTTGAGAAACCCACCAACTTTTTATCCAGCTATGGACTTCATAATAATAGAAGTCTTTTGCATCACTTATCAGTCTATGCCTAAGAAGAAGGCACCTTGATGTTTGTATAGCCCAAGAAGAGAGACTATAGAAAGAACTCCTGTAATAGCCTAACAAGTTGGGAGCTTTATATCTGGAATATCCAATATTTAGAAATACGAAAGACAACCGTACACTCTTATCCGTACGAGACTAGCACTAAATATGTAATAACTTTCTTGACCTCTTACGATCTCCGAATGGTAAAATTCTAAAACTTGTTTTAGTATACACTTCCACCGTACGTGAACTAAGAGGCAAGTACATGTTTCATTACTAAACTCATGAAGACTTTCAAATAACAATGCAAACAGAACATGATTGCTAGCATATTCAGAACATACTATGCAGAGGAAAAATGAAATCAAGTGAACATTTTGGGATTCAATGTTAATCCTTTACAGCAGGTTCGAATGTCGTCTCTATATGTAGCGAGTAAATCGGCATACACATTATCTTACATGACCAACCAACTCTACTAGAAGCATAAAAGTATCTTATTGTTACCTTAAAACAATGTGCTTCAAGGTGCAATACTACCAAAGAGTTAGTTTTAGTAAATTTATAATTTGAATCAATTCTCAAGTTTACCAGACCAAATTACAGTGGGAAAAACATCAAAACTTACCAAAATTAAGCTAGATTGAAGCTCATTCATCAACCAACGTTTAGGTAAACAGATATTCCGGAGTACCAAAAAAAGCAACTCAAATTCCAATTGCCAGTAAATTTCACCAGTAGCCCATCTTAATTCAACATTCAACAACTCAAATTGATTCAAAAAAAAAAAAACCCTTTGCTCGACAAGCCAAAACAAACTGATTTCCTGAAGGAAAACAGAGACTAAGAAGAGTAGATACATAAACCAGATAGTTACTAAATTAATTTAGTGCCGACAACAGAAGCAAAACAAACCTGGTGGAGGATAGAGAGAGAAGGGCGGAGAAGTGATTGGAAAAATTATGGTTTTCAGACGAGCTTTTCCCTTTTTGTTTCTCTTCTTCTTACATTCTAGTATACATTTTTCAACCCTAATTATTTTTTATTTTTTTGACATTTTTAATATTTCCTACATAGGTTTTATATTAAAAAAAAATTGAAAATTAAATATTATTTTTCTTTCTCTTTTTACTTTTTCCCCCACAAACCATCGAAACTATTCCACAAACCCAATTTCCCTTGGTTCGCAAGAAAAAAGAAAGACGAAAAGTTTCATCTCAAGCTGGTGGAGCAACAGCAATCGTCATGTGTTAGGGCCATCAATCAGCAGTCAAAAGAGGTAAAATTACTGTACAAATAATTTACAATCCATGCCAAGAAGGGTTGCAATTGGTTTGAGAAATTTAGGAAACAATAAACCATAGCTAAGTTTTATGTTACTATTTTGTTGCATTTTTTTCTTGGTTGCTAAGGATTGTATTTGGAAATTTACAGATGGATTGTTTAATTTCTGGAAATGTGAATTAGTTGCAAAGTAAAACATAGAGAAGTATTAGAAAATCCCAGATTTTTTTGTAGCAATTTGGAGGAGCCTGATTATCAGGTTATATGGTTTTCATTGTGCTTGTTTTCTTACCAAACTCTTCCTTGGGTATCAATTCTTGTTTTGGTTCTATGGTTTGCCAAATGGCTACACCAATCTCGCGAAATTGTGCTTCACATAGGGTACTGTTGTAGTTGTATTCCGAAAGTGCACAGAAAAACAGATTTGCAGTGCTCTGTTGAAAGACCTTTTCGCTTAGCTGTTATAATTGTTTTCAAGGATTTGTTTAATGTATTTCTTCCTTCAGGTTAATTTATTGTGCAGTTTTTACGGATTTCTAAACAGAGTTGTAGATTGTCCGAACACTTTATTTGAACTTGACATGTGCATGACTGAAAAACATGCATGACTGGAAAACTGAAAAACCAGATTCTGAGTTTCTGTTTGGGGATTAGTTACTCCTATCCTTTGAGTCCTTTGTTGTGGGTTTTTTTTTTCATGAATATGTCCTATATTCAATGGTGTTTATTTTAGTGGTTCATGAAAAGGAGTCCTAGTTTGTCCAAATATTAAGTTTGAATTGACTAATTGAATTCAAATTTTTTGGAAGAATTCAGTTTTGAAGTGCTGTGTCGAAGATCGGATTTGTCGTAATTTTTGAACTGGTTTTCCTGAATCCTTTTATTAAAACTCTTCCTTGTTTCTCCTAGTTTAAAATGGTTTTTGTGGCTTGCATTTGGATCTTTAGTTTGATAAAAAAACATGCCTTGAACATGGCATATTTACCACCTTTTTGCTGAATTTCAGAATGTAGGAATTGGGAGGTTAACTTTGAAACTTTGATTCGCTAGGATAGAGGAACTTACTGGGCTGTTAAGTTCATCCCAATATTTTCCCACCTTAGGTTAGCAAGAGAACCGAATTAACCGGAGGAATGGGTGTACACATATAACAAATGGTGTTTTCTTCTGTTTTGGATTAGATTGATACCCAAGTTCTATTTGAATTTAATGCTTTTATATTGTACTTAAACCTTCTGCTGTGTATATTAGAAATTTGAAGGGAAAAAAGAAAAAAACTTGTGAATGCAGGGATGTTACAGTTGAAACGAAACAAAATCTGCAAGCGAGATCCCTTATTTTATTTTCTTAATATCGAAGGCACAGAACAGAGGTAAATCTTGGGGATGGACGGACCGCCAGAGAACGATTTCTGTTCAATATGTCACGCCAACTTTCATCTTCCTTCCCAAGCTAATTGTTCCCACTGGTATTGCTGTAAGTCACATTATCCCTCTTGTTTTTATTCTGTTTCAGGAGGTGGGTTCTGTTGATTTTTCAATTTTACGAAGTTACTGAAGGCAAGATTAAATTCTTTTATGGAATTTTCTTGACCTGTTATGCTGATCTGATTTTGTGTGGGATTTGCCATCTGTTTTCCTAACTGAATTATTATAGTAAGAATACAGTCATTAATAGAGGCTCCATCCTTGATGGGATAAAACATCAATTTGTGGTGGTAAACTTCATTTCTCATTGGGTTAAGTCCTATTGGATAAAAGTTTGGTTTCCCTTTCCAGGCCATCTTGAAAATGGAAATGTTACTGCAATAGCTGTTGTTTAATTCTAGGTTTCTTGTAATGGAATTCATTCTGTTGCACTTTGCTTTGAATGTCTATAAAACTTCAGCATTATAAATGGGGCGTGTTGTTCAGAAGTTTGGTTATAAAATGCTGCAAACTTTGCCTAGAACTAGCAGAAAGTTTGATAGATTGGGACATTTACACGTGTTTCCTTACTATTGGTCGTCTGAAACTGATGTATTCTTATCCAGCAAACTGCATTTTACAAGTTTGGAATCATGGACCAGCCCTTCAGCCATGCAAATGTCCATTATGTCGCCGTCCTATTACTTTGTTGATTCCTAGTGAGTCAACATCCAGGCAGCATGATAATGCTGAAGTTTTTCAGATTCTACAGAGGATTGAATCATATAACCGTCTATTTGGGGAACGATCAGAGGGCTTTGTACAGGTATATGGTTATCTGAGTATTTTTTGTATGCAAATATCAAGTTTTATAGTTTTCCTTTTTCTTATTGTCCATCGTTTTGACAGTAGGGTGAGTTGTTCTGTTCTGTCACATAGGATTTCATGTTGGGTGGTAGCTTCTTTCTGCTTCCGTCTTTTCTTATATAAGTGTATCTTAGTTATTGCCAACTCTGAAATTATTTTGATGATTAACCAATTCCTAAAATTCTGATTAACATTCTGCTAACTAGTTTCATAGTACAAGACCCAAAAGCAAATTACAGGCAAATAAATGTGCTCGTGACTTATGCTCAACTCATGTGATTTATGTTGGTATCGATTCCAATAAATTGCATATTGTTTCCTTGCACTTGGCTGCCATTTTGTTTCGGAGTTATCAATGCCTGATTCTTTGGACCTTCACTAGTTTTCATTACTGAAGAAAAACTTCATTCTCCACCCCTCCTGGTATGCATAGAGTAAGGCCCATTTGTTCAAATATAAGGACAGCTTTTCTATCATTTTCTTCTGCCCTTAAAACTGTCAATTGGAGGTAATAGTGTACGAATAGAATATGCATTGCTCAATACTGTATAAATCCCTTTCTTTGCTGATCATCTTATCTACACTTGCACTCTAATAAACCAAACAGGAGCAAAAACATTCAAGTGCTCTTTATGGAAATTTTCAGAATTCACAAATAGAGTTTGCTTATTAATCTGTACCAGACCAGTCCTTTCACTTTTTCTAAACAAAAATTTAGAAAGGTTAGAGCTCTGTATGATCTTTACACTAACAGGCTTTAGAAGTTATATGATTTTCCCTTTTATTACTGAAATCTATGTATCTGTTAAAAAAGTGCATACTCTGTTGAAGAAATTGTATTATGAGTATTCAAAGGATGGCTGTTTGCAAAGTAACCTGTACCTTCAGATATCTACTATTTGGAATGGCATGGTACACAACAATAAATTTGGTTTTGTTCGATTTTTCGACAGAAACATGGATTGATAAGTTGAGTATCAGAACTACAGTGATGTTAGTTAATTTATATGCGACTAATTCCTTGATACTTCTCTCCTGTGACAAATTGGAATATGGATCTGAAGAGTTCAGTCTTTGCAGTTTGTCGAGCTTAATTTATGTATGAAATGAAGCACTTTTCCCGTTCAAAAGTTGGTTTTTTGGAGACAAAATTGCCGCGTAGTGGTCTTTCTATGTGCCTGTTTGACTTGTTTCGTTGTAATTCCATATTCAACTAGAGTTCTCTTTCCTTTTCCGTTCCTTCTCCCTTCCTTTTCCTTTGCATTGTCATCTCATTTCTTCTCTCCATTTAGGATATTTCTTCTTGTAAGCACATTTATTTGTATCATTCACGTCTAGAAGGGAAAAAATCAAATGCTTGGGGTTAGATGATATGACAAGTTCTACATTGTGGAGAGTATGGCTGTCATAGAGCTAATTGATGTAGTGTTCATGTACCTAGGCTTCTATGCTATTAGTGAATACTTTGGCCTGTCTGCAATGGTGACAGATCCACCTTCTCATGGATTTCGATGTCTCATGTTTGGAATGATATGATGAGCAACTCTTCCATTTTTTTTAGAACCATATTACTTAAGTTTATCCTGGGAAACATAAAGTAATTTTTAAGCTTAAATAGAGGAACGATAGCCAATGATTTTGCTTATCAATTCCTTTCGGAAGTTGAATGAAAACTGGCCACTACCATTTGAAATTAGTAAAGGCTATACTCCTGCAGTGCTGACTTCTCCTGTGGGACTTTCTTTTGTCTAGTGCCCTTTTATTCGCAAAGTTTCTCATGTTTTGTATAATTAAAAGTTTAGATCTGTAGTGTGTATAACCTTATCTAAAGGCAACAATTTCACATGGCATGAATTTAAAAAATTTGCCAAAGGTTCTACGTGACAGAGAATACTTGTTTTGGCAGAGAATCCAAGATCTACCGTTTCTTCTTAGGAGGTTGTTGCGAGATATCATGGATCCTCAAAGGTCTATTCCATTGGTCATCAGGGCACGCGTCTATTTGGCAGTTAAGTAGAGTTTGTCTTTCCTATACATTGAATTTATTGAATTGATAAACGATTACATATTGCTTGTAAGAATAGTTTAAAGAACATGGTCTTTGGCAGATAAGTTTCTTTTACACATTTCTTTACCTGCAGGCATTTCTGAGTGCTATATATGTTCTCAGTCCTGTGGATATTATACCAGAAGGTATGGCATTGCTGCTGACTTATGTTTTTGTGTATTTCTTTTGGCAATTTCTGGCATCTTACATGTATCTTGTTAAATCACAGCGGTAATGGGTGTAATTGGTCTGCTGGATGATTTCCTCATAGTGTTCATGTGCTTCATGCATGTCGCTGCCCTTTACCGGTCTGTGCTGCTCAATCGGCATGGGGGCTCTTCTTGATTAATGCTCTAGGTTTAGCACCAACAAAGTAGATTCTTAAAGGATGCATACTTCTACCAAAGATTAATTCATTGTTCTTTCCTGTAATCCTCAAACCACGATATTTTGTTGGTTCAGTGAATTTTTTACACAGCGTCAATTTGATGAGCGCAGCAGGCATTTTATGAGACTAAAGTGGCTAACATGATGTTGACGTTATGAACTATCGATGATTCGTCACTGAAATTTAACAGGACAAAGAATCAACAACATATAAGGTAACATATGACTAACGTTGATGGGGGAAATTCAGTGAAACCATATATATCCTTACGGGGAAGTACGCAATGTACCGCAATTGGAGAACAAAACTTTAGCGTAAACAAGTTCAGTTTGATTCCACTTAAAAGAGTCTCCTGCGTAACGAGATAAACAAAGATTTATCAAGATCAAAGGTTCTAAACTGTTTCGTTCCCTTGCCTTTTTATTTTTATTTCGTCTGTCTGACACCGTCAACATTAACTATGTACACACAGGAAATTATCTCCATGATCTAATAGGAAACACAAACTGCATATATGAATTTTAAAGAATTAAATCAGGTAAAAATCTTACCTACGGAAGGTGAATTATTCTTGACTTAAAAAGATGATTTCATTGAAAAAAAAAAAAAAAAAAAAGAGTGCATTTAGTAATATCCAGAAAGCTCTTGGAGGGGGGAAAACACAAATCCAAATCACACTGTTCCCTGGAAATTTACCAAGCAAGAGTGAGAAAGTAATTTCACCTAATTGCTAAGACTCAAAAACCCTCGTACTTGTCGTCCTTGGATGACTGATTTTGCACCAGGTTGGTGCACTGATACTCTGCTACTAACATCCTCCAGCACTTGTTTCAGTGCAGCTTTAGCGCTCTTCACAGATTCTTCAGTAGGTCCTTCAATGTACAGAAACAACTTCCGCTCCCCTTCTCTAGGGTTCTGGCCGGGCGGGAAAAATTGCCCCCTGGTTGTAATGGAAGCTCCGGTAAATTCAGCAATAGGCTCCAGAGTTTCCCTGTGTGTCACTTTCCAACGAGCATTTTGAGGAAAATCATTTATCTCCAATTCAGTGTGGGGACGTTCACCTTGAAGTTTATGTAACTTCTCCAAAATAATCCTTTTTAGATTGTTTATGCCATTAGGTTCAATTGGAACAGGAGCAGGTTGTTTATTTTCTTGTCTGACAGGAAGAGCATCGTTCTGAAAAGGTTGAGAGGGGTCTTCCTCTTCATCTGAATCAGATTTACATTCCTCAAACCCGTACTCTTTCGCCTGTGCTTTCTTAGCAGCTTTTCTCACTTCATCTTCCTCTTCATCAAATTTATAACCGCTGCCACCATAACCAGTTCCATGGGCTTTTTCAAGTCCTTGCTTCACCTTGGCCAGAAATCCATCAGCAAGAGCTTTCAGGTCATCAGGTACAACTTGCCCAGAAAGCTCCAATGCTTTCACAAGATCTGGTGCAAATCTAGAGTCATCCTCTGATATAAAAGTAATAGCAGTACCTTTTCGACCAGCCCGCCCAGTTCGACCAACACGGTGAACATAGTCCTCATAATGGTTTGGAACATCATAATTGATCACCAGTTCTAACTCTTTTACATCCAAACCCCTAGCAGCAACACTTGTCGCAATCAACAAGTCACAGACGTTACTCTTGAAATCTGCAACGGTTGATTCACGATCAGTTTGATCCTTCGCCCCGTGAAGAGAAAGGCAAGCATGACCATGCTTGACCAAGTCCCTGAATAAGGTATCACATTTCTCCTGCGAATGGACAAATATCAAAATCTTTCCCTTCTCACACCAATCACCCAAAAGTTCTAGGAGTCGAAGGAACCTATCACTCTCAGGCCTCACTTCAACCAATTGCTCTATATCTTTGTTAACAACACTCCTCCCCCCTACCTGGATTTCTACAGGTTTGTTCAATACTTTTCGAGCCAGTATTTCAACCTGACGAGGAAAGGTTGCAGAAAAGAGCACAGTTTGACGGTCTGGTCGTGTATTTTGAACTATCTCTGCTATTTGAGGCTCAAAGCCCATATCAAACATCCTGTCAGCTTCATCCATAACCAAATAAGTAACCCTACGCAGATTCGTAATTTTCCCGGAACTGGTACAAAGCATGTCAATCATCCTCCCTGGAGTGCAAACAACAATCTCCGTGCCCCGTTTCAATTCCCCAATCTGTTGGGCAACACCGGCACCTCCATAAACTGGTACACACCTAAGACCCAATACTTTAGAAAACTTCTTGACATCACTGTGAATTTGTTGGACAAGCTCCCTTGTTGGTGCCATTATAAGGGCAATTGGACCATCTCCGGGCATCAATGGCGACTGGTTCTTGATGTGCCTCAGCATAGGTAAGACAAATGCCAAAGTTTTGCCAGAGCCTGTCTTAGCTGTACCAATGCAGTCTCTGCCACTCATAATAACAGGCAATGCCTGAGCCTGAATAGGCATGGGCTTCTCACAATTTAACTTCCGAATGGTTTTCAAGACATTAGCTGATAGTCCAGCTTGTAGCCAAGATCTTACTGGTTTCAGCACGTCCTTCCCATGTACTTTCAACTCCAACTGTTTTCTGTAAGCAGCTACCTCCTCATAGGTCATTGCTGAAATTTCTTTCGCTTCAATATAAAAATCCTTCCGTAATGGAGGATAATCCATTTTAGAATGGTCAACGACGGGTAATTTCTTAGCCTTTATTTCCTTTACCCTATTCAAAAAATCATTATCATTTTCATCCTCAAGATGATTATCTTTGTCCTCATAATTCTCATAGTCTGAATCACTGTCTTCCCAAGAAAAGATTCGACCCATGGAATTATCAACCCCCTTTTTTGGATGTTTGCCATTTCTTCTTTTATATCCCGCATCCAAATCGTTATTAACATCACCCAACGAAGGAGGCTCACCATGAAGCCTCTCAACTTCAGGCACCACCATAGCATTCATGAAAGCATCTAATGGATCTACTTCTTCATCATCAATGGCACCACCAACCTCATTCTGCAGAGTAGCAGCCAAATGCCCATCCCTATGGCTATTTATGGGCTTGATGCCCTCATCCAAATCCATATCAGTGTTTTCTCTTCCGTCAGATTTGGCTTCTTCGGAATCAGATTCTCCTTCTAGGGTCCAAGTCTTACCAGATTGTGGTTCATTATTGGCTGCAACTCCAAGTGATCCTCTCTCAGACTCCTCCCTCTGCCTTTTTAGCTGTTGCCATTCCTGGACTCTCCTACGACGCTTCTCCGCCTCCTCATCTAGTTTCCTGAGCTCTTCAGAAACTTCTTCCTTATTGTCATTTTTCTCATCAACAAAGTCTTCATTGCTTGGTTTATGCTGACAACTATCTTCAGAATTATCATTATACTCTGCGGACTTGCTGGTTTGTTGACAGTCCAGATCCTTATGGACCTCATCTCTCCTCTGCCTCTTTCTGTCCCTGTCCTTGACATCACTGTCATCACCACTCTGATCTGTATAACCAGTTCGGCTCTTCTCTCTCACCCAAACTATCCCCCTCTCTTTTTTCCTCCTCTCCCTTCTCTCTCTGTCATAGTCCCTTTCTTGCTCTTCCCTTACCCTCTCTTTTCCACGCTTCCTGTGTCTTTCCTTGTGCTTCCCCCTCTCTCCCCCCTTTTCTTCTTTCCTTTTATCAGCATGTCTTTCTTCCCTATCTCTAATCTTGTACCTCAAACCATCACGAGTTGAATCCCTCTCCTTTCCCCTTTCACTCTCTTTGTGCCTACCTCTGTACCTCTCCCTGTCTCTGTCTCCATATTCGTCATCAGTACTCCTCTCCCTGTGTTTTTGATCCTTTTTATCAGAGGAATGGTGGTGATCCCTGTCCCTATTTCTATATCTGTCCATCTCCTTGGTTCTATCCCCATTCGTCTCTTTGTCTTGATTCACATCTCCTCTTTCCCTTTTCTGATGGCTCCTTCTGGAAGAGTGCAGTTTAGAATCATCCGTCCTTGGCTTGGAATCTTCCTCCCTCATTGCAACTTAAACACTGCCAGCACCAACACTTGCGGAATCCGAAACTTCTCTGAAACTGTGAAAACCAGATAAACGATCGTTAGAATACTTCAAAGGGGAAAACCACAAACGCAATAGCCAAATTCCGATCAAATTCAGTTCATAAGATTACCAAATTAAAAACATCAGCGAGAAACAATTCAAAAACCAGACATAAAACAACAATTCCCGACCCCTGCCCCTAGCAGACAAATACCAAAAACCCTAAAAAAAATGAACCCCAGTTGAAAAATATACTCATACAAAACAAAACTTCATTGAAAGACAAATCATTATACAGGCATCCATGAAACCAATAATGGAACATAAAAGGGGTAAAAAGGAAGCACAAAATTGAGGAAGAGGCTTACGTGATTGAAGACACCCGGCAAATCCAAAAAAGCCTGCAAGAAAACAGAAATCACAAATCAAAACTCACGCCGTTTTTACCCTAATCTTCGAAAAACAATCGATCAATAATAAGGTATCAATTCATCACAATGATTACCATCAGGAAAAATTAGGGCAGAAGCGATTTTTCTTCGCAGAAGAAAGAAATTAATATCTGGAAAAAGATACGAAGAGCTCGCGCGAAAATAAATGTCGTATAATCGGAGGCCTATATGCCTGTATTTATAGACCGTTTTGAATAATCCTTTTTTCCCATCCATGCCCCCCGAAATAATCTGTTTCCTTTCCCATTTTGAAAGAGGATTTATATTTAAATATGGGATTTTTTTAATTATTACAAAAAAAAAAAAAAGACATTCCTTCCGTCCAAAACAAGTATCGGATTTTCAAATTTGTGACTAACTCATATGAACCACGGAGTACTTTTTTGGAAGGGGCATACATTTTCAAATTTTGAATAATGATTTTTAATTCAAAAAACATACCATTCTTTTTATATCTCTTATAGTTTTTAAATACATTAAATGATTAAAAAATACAAAAAAGTAAGAAAATCCATCAAGTAGACCGTGAATCGTATTCGAGACAAAGTTTTTTTTTTAGTACTGCGCACGGTGTCCTAAATGTATTGAGTCGGGTCGATCTGCTTTTAGAGGGAAACTCTCCCAATATTATTTTTTCCATTCACGAGACTCAAACTCGAGATTTAACTTAAGGAAATCAAAATATCTTACCGCTTTGGACAAACAAGTGTTGGTGTATCAGAAACAAAGTTAAAAGGTGGATACAAGTGGATGAACTTCCACGTTGATAATCTTGAAGTTGTTCCGTAGTGGAAACTTGTGAGCATTTGTTTTCGTTTTTTTTATTTTGGTAATAACTTTTGAGCATATTTGTTTTCTGCAATTTGGGAAAGACCTTAGCAATGTTGATCCATTACCAACAAGACAAAAGAAGATTGGAAGAGAAAGGAAAATTACACTTAACTGCTGCATCTTGTTAAGTTCGTAATGCTTGAACTGATGATGTTGCTTCACGTTCAATCTTTGATCTTTCCGGTCAGCATGAACTCCAAACTTAAGGATGGTTGAAATAAATGTAAACAAATAGTAACTGTAAAATTTAGAAGATTACACCATAAAGATTATTAGGTTCAACAATAAGAATATGCTACTGCAAGTACTTGGTGCCAGTCAGTGACCTTCCAATAATTCCGGCTGGGAGCTGTTGTTATTCCTTCACAGCATAGAGGCAAAATAAAAGAGCTATCTGATATTGTGCACTATGATTCTGCACTCAGTGACCAAAGCTTGAATCCACCAGGGTCTCAACCTCAAACGATGTCACACACCATCTCCACAGGTTATCGTAACCCAATCAGCAGTATGAAACCCTTGAATCGGAGAACAAAAACTCAAACCAAGAAAGATAACAGAATTCAGTGATCAGCCCACAATGAAGGAAAGAACAAACAGGTTCTTCATCAAGCTAGTAAATAGAAAGGCAATAACAAGTTTAACAACACAAAAACGATTCATAGCATACTCCTGCTACACATCTCCACCATCTTCAAAAAAATTTGGCCAGATTGATCTTTGAAAGATATCCTCAGTCATCCTGCATTAGCTTGCATGATTAACAGTAACCCTAGAGGCATCCATGAAAGCCTCTTGCTCTAAGACCAAAACATTCGTACAAATTTCAAATGTCAATCAAAACCAAGTCAAGCAAAAGATCTTACAAAAAAATATCAATTGTCAAAAACTAATGAGGATTCCAATAAATAATGCTCCAAAGACTTATACCATGAGTTTTCTTTCCTCTCCGCCAATAAGAAAGATGACAAGAATATAATTAAGAAATCTGATTACACAGCATTCAGCAATATCTGGAACAGCATATAAATAACAAAGCTAATAAACAAAATGCCTGATCAGACTTTTCCCTGGAAGTTCATTAAGCAGTCTAGAAAGTAAGAAATGTCCCGATGTAAGCATATAAGATGTACTTCGTCTATGTCAAAAAAACTCGACCTCGACCTTAGACAACTGAGTATCTTCCAGGTTGCGCTGCACCTGGTAGTGCTGATGCTTGGTTGGTGATATCCTCCAACACACGTTTAAGTTCAGCTTTAGCTCTCTTCACAGATTGTTCATTAGGTCCTTCAATGAACAAAAACAGCTTCCGATCCCCGGGCCCAGGTATCTTGCCAGGCGGGAAGAATTGCCCCCTGGTTGTGATAGCAGCTCCGGTCCACTCGGATATTGGACCAAGAGTTTCCTTGTGGGTCACCTTCCAACGAGCATTTTGCGGGAAATCATTTATCTCCAACTCAGCCTCGTAATGTTCAGGAATGGCATCAGCTTGAAGCTTGGCTAAGTTGTGCTTCAAATTCATCGCAGCGGCTAATGCTCTAGCACTGGCTTCACTGGGCCCAATAGTTATTCCACCATTGGTAAGAACTGTTGTAGCAGCAGGCAAATTAAGTATGCCTGGAAGAGCACCATTCGGAACCAGTTGAGGTAGGTCACTACCACCAGCCTTTCTAACTCCCTCTTCATCATCGGAATCAGATTTGTCTTCCTCAAACCCATATTCTTTTGCCTGCGCTTTCTTGGCAGCTTTTCGCACTTCATCTTCCTCTTCATTAAATTTAAAACCACTACCACCATAACCAGTTCCATGGGCTTGTTCAAGTCCTTGATTCACCTTGGCCATAAATCCATCTGCAAGAGCTTTCAGGTCACTGGGTACAACTTGCTGAGAAAGTTCCAATGCTTTAACAAGATCTGGTGCATATCTAGCATCATCCTCTGATATAAAGGTAATAGCACAGCCTTTCCGGCCAGCCCGACCTGTCCGACCAACGCGATGAACATAGTCCTCATAATGGTTTGGAACGTCATAATTGATCACCAGTTCTAACTCTTTTACATCCAAACCCCTAGCAGCAACACTTGTTGCAATCAACAAGTTGCAGACATTACTCTTGAAATCAGCAATGGTTGATTCACGATCAGTTTGATCCTTTGCCCCATGAAGAGAAAGACAAGGATACCCATGCTTGAGCAAGTCCCGAAATAAGGCATCGCATTTCTCCTGCGAATGGACAAATATCAAAATCTTTCCCTTCTCATACCATTTGCCCAAAAGTTCTAATAGTCGAAGGAACCTATCACTCTCAGGCCTCACTTCAACTAACTGCTCTATATCTTTGTTAACAACACTCCTCCCGCCTACCTGGATTTCTACAGGTTTGTTCAATACTTTTCGAGCCAATATTTCAACTTGACGAGGAAAGGTTGCAGAAAAAAGTACAGTTTGACGATCAGGTCGAGTATTTTGAACTATCTTAGTTATTTGAGGCTCAAATCCCATGTCAAACATCCTGTCGGCTTCATCCATAACCAAATATGTAACCCTACGCAGATTAGTGATTTTCCCAGCACTGGTACAAAGTATGTCAATCATCCTACCAGGAGTGCAAACAACAATCTCAGCACCCCGTTTCAATTCACTAATCTGTTGAGCAACACCAGAACCTCCATAAACAGGAACACAGCTAAGACCCAATATCTTAGAGAACCTTTTAACATCACTGTGGATTTGTTGGACAAGCTCCCTTGTAGGTGCCATTATAAGCCCGATTGGACCATCACCAGGCATCAGTGGAGGCTGATCCTTGATATGCCTCAACATAGGTAAGACAAATGCTAAAGTTTTGCCAGAGCCTGTCTTAGCTATACCAATGCAGTCTCTGCCACTCATAATAACAGGCAATGCCTGGGCCTGAATAGGCATGGGCTTCTCAAAGTCCAACTTTCTTATGGTCTCCAAGATTTTGGTTGATAATCCCATTTGATGCCAAGTTCTGACTGGTTTTGGCACGTCTTTGCCGTGTATTTTCAATTCCAACTCTTTCCTGTAAGCTGCTACCTCCTCAGACGTCATTTTTGAAATTTCTTTGACTTCAATATAGAAATTCTTCCGGAATGGCGGATATTCTATTTTTGAATGGTCTACAACAGCTAATTTCTCCGCCTTGGTTTTCTTCACTCGCTTAAAAAATTCAGCATCATCTTCATCCTCAAGAGGATCTTCTTCCTTTTCATAGTCCTCATAATCTGAATCGGAGTCTTCCCCGGCAATGATCCTACCCATGGATTTCCTTACCCCTTTCTTAGGATGTTCCCCGTTTCTTCGATTACTTTTCTCATTCAAATTCTTACTAAAATCTTCAGGTGGAGGAGGCTCAGAATGAAGCCTTTCAACTTCAGGCAGTACCATAGAATTCATGAAAGCATCCAACGGGTCTATTTCTTCATCAGCTGTGGCTCCAGCAGCCTCATTCTCAGCACCAGCCACATGACCATTTTCAGAATCAATGGCCATGTCATCTCTATCACTATTGATGAGCTTCCCACCCTCATCCACATCCATATCAGTATCTTCTTTTCCATCAGATCTGGCTTCTTCATCATCAGATTCTCCTTCCAGGGTCCAAGTCTTACCAGATTGTGGTTCTTCAGCATTGGCCGCCACTCCAAGTGATTCTCTTTCGGATTCTTCCTTCTTTCTTCTTAGCTCTTGCCATTCCTGAACTCTTCTGCGGCGCTTTTCCATCTCCTCATCTAATTTCCTCTGTTCTTCGGCAAGTTCTTCTTCTCTATTCTCCTCTTTCTTCTCCACAAAATCTTCATTGCTCCTTTTCTGAGGGCTACTATCTTCACCATTATCTTTGTGCTTGTGGGACTTGCTACTTTGTTCACGGTCCCGGTCTTTATGACTATCATCCCTCCTCCGCCTCTTTCTATCACGGTCCTTGACATCACTGTCATCACTACTAGGATCCCTATCTGCTTCGCGCCGCTTCTCTCTTTCCCGAACCCTCTCTTTCTCCTTCTCCCTCTCTCTTTCCCTTTCCCTCTCCCTCCTTTCCCTCTCTCTTCCGCGGTCCCTTTCCCTCCTCTCCCTTTCTCTATCTCTTTCACGCTCTTCCCTTTCCCTCTCCTTCTCTTTTTCTCGCTCCCTATCCCTTTCTCTATCTTTCTCCCTGTCCATTTCCTTGTCCTTCCCCCTCTCTCGCTCCTTTTCATCCTTCTCCATATGAACTTCTCTGTCTTCTCTTTCCCTACCCTTGTCCCTAGCTTTTTCAGCATCACGAGTTGAAGTCCTCTCTTTTTCCCGGTCCTTCTCTTTGTGCTTATCCTTGTGCCTCTCCTTATCTCTGTCTCTATATTTTTCATCAACACTCTTCTCCCGACCTCTGTATTTATCATCAATACTCTTCTCCCGATCTCTGTATTTATCATCAATACTCCTCTCCCTTTCCCTGTCCCTATCCTTGTCTTTTCTATCCTTTTTATCAGAAGATGAACGGCGGTGATCCCTGTCCCTGTCCCTGTCTCTGTCTCTGTCCTTGGTTCTCTCCCCATTCTTCTCTTTATCTCGTTTCCGATCCTCTCTATCCCTGTCCCTGTGGCTCCTCTTTAAAGATTCCATTTCAGAATCATCCTTCCTTATCTTTGACTTTGCATCGTCCATTGAAACTAGAACAAATCAATCAAACCTCAGCACAAGACCTAGCAAAATCCTGAGTTTCTCTTCAACTGTCAAAACCAATTAAATCATTGTCAGAGAACTTCAAATAAACAACAATCAAATTCAAAAACCACTTCTTCCACCCCCAAAAAGCAACTGCACGAGAGTGAAACAAAAAATTAAGCAAACAGACAAGTATGGATCAAATTCAGTTCGTTAAGATTCCAAAATTACAACTTTTCTCGGACCCATTTATTAAAATTACCTAAAGGCACAAAAAAAAAACCCCTTAAAATCAAAACCCTACGAAGCATGAATCCCCCACATTAAACATAATAGGGGCAAAACAAATCCCCTACCATGATAAACAAAAAAGCGCAGCATTCTTCGGATATCTTAACTCGATTATAGAACAAAAACAAAGAGATTAAGGGAGGCGAGCTTACCCGAATGAAGACGATGCGGGAATCCAGAAGCTCCTGCAAAAAAACAGTGAGCACAAATCAAAAATCACGCCGTTTTTTGCTCTAATTTCTGAAAAATAAAATTGGCACTAAAATTATCATTTCAGCAATGATAGCAGTACTATTAGCTTCGAAAGGTTAGGGCAAAAGGGATTTATCTTCTCAGGAGGAGGAAGAAGTAATAATAAATCGGGAGTTGAATGAGAGATTGCCGAAATTAAAATCAAATTATAAATTCACAATTTATACTTGGAAACAGGATTTTTAATAATTGTTAGTTTTCAGAAATACCCCTCGAATTTTTAGTTATTTATGCTTAGCAACGGTTTAGTTTTTGGGCATCTAATTTGAAAAGATTTCTAAATCTTGTTCAAGTGGATGAGGGAAACTTTCTCCTTTTTTTTCTTTGATACTCCCCATATCTTATTACAAGATGTTTTGATTTGTACCGAGTTTTATTTAATATATTGTCTTATAAATAAAATAAAACTTTAAAAATATTATCGTATTTATTATGTCTTTAGAAGTAATTTTTAGTTCAAATTTTATCATATTACTTAGGCTCTGTTTGTTTGGTTTTTTAGATGGTATTTTCAAATTATTTTAATAATAATTGTCTCATCCCAGCATATCTTTTTACATTTCCAATACACTTTTTTACATTTTCGATACAAAAAACACACACTAAAAAAAACGAAACAAAATTTTGTTGCGTTTTATTCACTTTCTTTCCTCAAGAATATATCACACTGTCAAATATTAATGGCAAGAATGTTATGCCGCCAAACTCAAGCATAACTTAAAAAACATTTACAGTATTACTTATTTTCCTAGAACACATAATGTGTTCCTTCTAACATTTAGAATTTACAACTATCATATAAAAACCTAATCCATAATGATATATGAAGAGCTTTTTTGTTCACATTCTACCAATTAAAGGGGAAAAAAAAAGGTCATCGGTATCATTACCGGCTGGATGCTAACAAAGTTTTCAGTGTTATCAATGTACTCCTTGAGCTGAAAAAACAGAGATATAAACAAATAAGCTAAAGAATATGAAGAGGGTCTTGGATTAATTTCTACATGGATCTCATTGATAGTGAGCTTCCTGCAGTCTTCATTTTCAATTTCAGAATTGACAAAGCCATACAACACTCGAGATGGGACGTCCATAAATCAAAGAAATTTTCAATTTCATCCTGGAGATTGCAATAGCTATTAGGGCTTATTAAAAGACTCTGGGTAACTGCGCAGCATCATATGTCTATTAAATTTCTTTTGTGCGATTACCTTATATGTTAGTTCAATGGTGAAACTGAATTAAAGATTTAATTATTCTTTTACAAAATTGTAAAACAGAAGAAGACTCCCGTGGAAAATGCAAATAGGGAAGGAAAAGAAATTTGTTTTTTTTTTTTGCTATTTACCTACGTGGCAATAACAAAGGAATATGATTTTCCAATAAGTTATTTTAGGACATAGTTTTACCAATTGGGTCAATTGAGAAAAAAAAAAAAAACTCTAGTAATTCTGGCAAAAAGACTTTACTTCAAATTAACTCTTTGGCTTAATGAATAATCCCTTGGCTTTAATATATAAATGCTTTCTTTCATATGCATTAAACATTTTGAAAGATCGGAATCGAAACATGCAAGAGGAAGATTTCAGTTTCTAAACATTAAAATATCCAGTTGGATTTAAAATATTAAATATGATCTTTTGAAATAAATTTTAACAAACGTCAACACTTATTACTGTTGTAAATAAGGGATGTATTTACCTGACGTTATTTGTAGTGTTAAAAAAAAATCAACACCTCAAGGAGATATAAAATAAAAAAATATAAATCAAAGAATTATTTTTTCTCATTTGAAAAAAAAAACCAATGTAAGAAACGAGAAAAAAAAAGAAGAAGAAGAAGCAAACTAGGAGATATAAGACTGTTATATATTATTATTTAGGACAATATCTGTGGCCCATTTAGTTATTAAAATTTTGGTTTTTTCTTCATTTATCTCTGCCGCTTTTCATTTATATTCATGAAATCTTATGCAAGATTAATAACTATGACAATAATTTTTAATTCTGTTTGTCAAAGTTATAAATGAATGTTGAAATTTTTGGATTACTATATTCTAACCGACATGAAATGTCCATCATCCTCCATTGAGTATATAAATAGTATCGCCTCGATAACAAAATATTACTCAGTACTCAAACAACTTAAAAAAGAAACAAAAAGAAAAAAAAAAAAAAAAGAGTTTTCAAAAATCATTTGCTTTACCATTTATTTTCATTTGTGTTTTGGTCACGTCGAGTTATGCCGCGCCATGGCACAATCACTACAGAGTTGTTATTAACGACAATTTACCAAAAGACGGAAAGATTCTCAAGTTTCATTGTTATTCTGGAGATAATGAGTTGGGTTACCATAATCTTCATCCTAATCAAAACTACAGTTTTCATTTCGATTTAAACTACTTCGACAACACTAAGTTTTATTGTACCTTTTGGTGGGCAAACAAAAAGAGACATATGGCAGTTTTTGATCAAAGAATTCACGAACATCATTGCGGAAACGGTGATCTTAATGTATGTACTTGGTTAGTGAAACGGGATGGCTTTTATGTAAGTGTCAAAGGGAAATTAACTAAGATTAATGAGTGGGATAACTAGTGATGCTAATGATGTAATTATATTGCAATAACATGATTTTTAGTGTCAAATTTGTTCCTATCCTTATTTCATACTCTTTTTGTCCAAAAGAAGAAGTTTATATTATCGATTGTGATCATATTACGAAATACAAATTTTCAATTTACAGATATCTGACTATTTTTATCGAACCGAACGAGTATCTTTTTATTTGTAATTGGGCGCAGCATATTGATTAAATCTTTTGTTTAGACAATCCTTCGCATGATATAATAATAATAAATAAAATTTCACAATGAACACTAACACAAGTGGTTGGAACTCCAATATGTGTCTGTCGTAGATTGAAGATCCATAAGATGCAGCTCTACCCAAGCTATCAGTTAAAGATTTGACTTATGGAGATTAAATTTAGAATCATGAATTAATAGAAAGCAAAAAATCTCCCGAGCTAGAAATCTTATATGGCAAGTTACTTGTAGCTTCATCTCCTGAGGTAGAAAGCAACTTTTGACATGGGTGGATTAGGAAGTCCCCATTGGAATTGGAACATAAACAGAGCTTTTATGGTTTACTAACGTATAATGCATGAAATGGTTGATTTACGATTGGGCGAACTACATTTTACACACCGAATTTGATTAATCTATCATAAATCCCCCGACTTTTGGTTATACTACCATAAACTCCTTGAACTTGAGTTAAACATTTGAAATGACTAAATTGACCATGCTATACATTCACTTTATTTTATTTTCTTTTTCTTTTGGTTTGTTTTTCTTCGTTGTTTGACCATTAAAAAAATAAATGATTTGATAAATAAATGATTTGATTGGTCATTTTCAAATTTAATTATCGCATAACTAAGTTAATAAATAAAAATTATTTCATGATTAATAAAATAAATTATTTCTAAATTATTTCATTTCAAAATAGATAAGATAATTTAATTTTGAAAATCATTTGTTAATTACATTAATATAAAATGATTGATATGGTATTTTTAAAACTTAATTCATGATATATTTTTAAGAACATATAAATTGTATGATGACAAGAATATAGATTGATGGGTATGTCGGACCGATTACACAAAATTAACGATGATGTTAGTATGTTAAGAGGATATTTTGTTGATTGACTAAAAGTCAAGTGCATATTTGATTGTATTATCTAGACTGGAGGGGGAGAGGAGGTGCTATTGTAGATCTAGCCAAAATTCGGGGGTTAAATGTAGTTCACCTAGCACTTTTTTGTTAGTTTTTGATAAATCCTATCTCGTGTCATTATTAGATACAATTTTGATTTTTCATAAATTTCATTTATTGTGTTTTTCCTAAGTGAGAATAAAACCTTAAAAAATAGTTTCCATATATTTTTCATATATGTAAAAAAATATGTTTTTAAGGTTTTATTTTCAATTGAAAAAGTACAATAAATGAAACTTGACAGAAATTTAAATATCTTGTGATAAGGATCGGATGGAGTATTTTGATAAAGGATGGTGATTTTTCCACAACAAATTCTCGCATCCAGTGTTACTTTCCCATCTTTTTTCATAATTGCCCTTATGAAGTCAAAGGCTTTATGAAGCATGGATCTGCACGGTATCTTAGAACGGGTGGCGATGATGATCTAGGCAGCAGCGGACGGCCTAAAACTTGCAAGACAGAGCTTCGGGTGTCTCTCGAGGGTAGACTCTCCGATTCTAAAGTCAATAAGGGAATAAAGAGAGTAGATAGAGAGGGATGTGTATCATGTGTAGAACGTGTAGAAGGTAAGTAGAATGTATGTATTATGGGAGAGGTGGTGTTACCTGCTTCCTGAAACCTAGTCGTATTAGGTTTAGGCGGTGGCTTAACCTCCAAGATAACCGGCCCAAACTCATTAGGATTAGGGTTAATTTATGACTCGTCAAGCGCCCCTAGCAAGCCATATTCTCGAGACTTGATGAGAAGAATATGGGTTGCTACAAGTGTTGATGTCTTCTCGAGTTTCATGGTATTGCCCCAGCTCTCGAACTCTTTCGTTCTCGGGTGTCACCTATACAAGATAAAGAGAATAAAGTGCCTTGCAGAGATCTTTGTATTAGTGAGTTCCTGATTGACAGGGGGAAGCCTGTGTATGCCGAATTAGGAGGATGGCGCCTAGATTCTCTTATTTGAAAGTGAGAAGCCTGTAATTGCCTGTCGTGCAGGTCTTGTGGCTGTGCCGATCTAGTAGGTCTTATTTGGCCGTTGCCCGACTAGCAGGTCTTTGTGGGTCGTGCCCGACTAGCATGTCTTATTTAAATCTGGTGCCCGACTAGTAGGTCTTTGTGGTTCGTGCCCGACTAGCAGGTCTTATTTAAACCCGGTGCCCGACTAGCAGGTCTTTCGGTTCCTTTCTGATGGTGGGTGGTCCCCAATGCCTGATTTGAAGGGTGGCCCCCATATGTTTGGATGTTATATGCAACAATATGATGTATGTATCAAAAAGATATTGTCATATGATATAAATAATATGCTTATAACAAGAATAACAGTTTATAGGCTTAGATTCGAGAAGCATAGTTAGAAAAGATTTGAGAAGTACCTCGGTTTCCAGTTAAATTGATTACTCTAGAAGGTGTTACTTCGATTTCGAGAAGGTATTATTTGGGTAGATGAAAGTCAAGATACGTCTTCTCGAACACTTCGAGTAGTAGTAAGGTGCTCGAAGGATGCTTGCCCCTTCGAGGAGATGTATCTTCTCGAACACTTCGTGTAGTAATATGGTGCTCGAGGGATTGTTGCCCCTTCGAGGAGATGTATCTCTCGAAACTCCAATCTTCGAGATTGCCCCTTACTAATTGTTCTTCTCGATTAGCTGTGGAGCAAGTGCAGCTCCTCGATTATTTGTGCAATCGAAAGCTCCTTTGTGCTACTTATCGGCTGACGTCTTCTTGGCCAAATAAAGATAATTTTTTTGTGTGATCTTCTTGTTGCAAAATCGGAGCAACGAATTAACACCGTGGCTACGAAAGATACAAAAGATTCCGTGCTTCGCTAAGAAATTTATTTGGCTGTAAAGACCAAACAAATCGGTCCCACTGGGCGTGCCACTTGACGAAGCATTGATCTACAAATCAGTCCCACTGAGCGTGTCACTTGATAAAGCATGAATCTGTACGGTGCCTTAGGACGGGTGGCGATGATGATCTAGGCGGCGGCAGACGGCCTAAAACCTGCAAGACAGAGCCTCGGGTGTCTCCCGAGGGTAGACTCTCCGATGCTTAAGTCAATAAGGGAATAAAGAGTAGAGAGAGAGGGATGTGTATCGTGTGTAGAAGGTGTAGAAAATAGGTAGAAGGTATGTATTATGAGAGAGGCACCACTTCTTTATATAGAAGTGGTGTTACCTGTTTCCTAAAACCTAGTCGTATTAGGTTTAGGCGGTCACTTAACCTCCAAGATAGCCGGCCCAAACCCATTAGAATTAGGGTTAATTTATGACTCGTCCACTTCTTTCGCTAGAATTTTTTTTGTTTTTGGTAACTTTTTTTTTTTTTTTTTTTTTTGGATGAGGAACTTCACTCTTTTTTATCATAGTTCTTGGAAAACAAATATTGAGGGTTGGATGGACACAAAAAAAAAAAAAAAAAAAAAACAACAACAACAACAAAAAAAACAAACAAATCGTAGACTCGTTGGTGGATAGTTTTCTGTTCTCTCATTTGATTTTGTTTATGAGTTAATTCTTGAAGCTCATCCATCAAAATTTTGTTAATTCTTTTTACTTACACATTTTTTTTTTGGGTGAAAACTTACACATGATTTCACATTAGTTAATAGGAAACAACTGTATGATGGGATTGATATTTTTTTATTACAAAGATGAGATTGATATTTTGAATGCATTCAAATTGTTTGATTTTGTTTCTTGAAAATAATTTCTTCAGTAACCCAATCAAATACTATCTTTGGTCTAATTTACGGATATTGCTTAACGATGTAGCTTTCATTAATTGTTGATTAATTAGTTACTATGATTCTTCATTTGGCAACATATATTCAGGTATTCACCCTATATTTGTCCAACAAAATGCAATTCAAGGTTTGGAATTACAGAGGTTAAAGTGCAAAGGGACTAAAAATCAAGGAGTACTTGTTTAAGATCAAAGCAACAACAGCTGCTACTTAAAAAAACAATTGTTAACTTTAATACAGAATTTATAGATGAAAGTGTGTAATTTATTCCCAAAATGTAAAGATGCCAGTAAAATTCATGTTTTCATGGTTCTATCATTAGGGCATCTTTTATAATTTGTTTCCCTCCTTGGCAATTTAGGCATCTTTTATTTAGTAAATATTGTTTAATTTGTTGGAAGGATTTTACTAAATGAGTGTGAGCAGTAAGAAGGTAGACAAAAAAAATTCAAAATAAGATTAATAAATTAATTAATTATAATATAAGGGTAGAAAGAAGACAAGTCTCTTTAACTTCATAAAAGTAATGTTGGATGCTAAAATTTGTTGTGCCAGAATCACTAGCCTTTGATAAAACTAAGAATTGGCAATAACAAATAAAATTTCTTGTTTCACTGGCCTTTCTATTGTCTAAACTCTAAATCAATGGTACATCAAGTAGGTAGAAAAATGCTCATCATCTAAAACTGGATTGGGGCTGAAAGGAAGAAGACAAATAAGAAATGATAAATGGACTGTCATACTCGACCTTTGATACACTTATCATACATGTTAGAGCTAAGATGTGTTTTTGTACTCTAATCTCTATATCATCATCACTCTAAAATACATTAGAAATTAAAAATATTCTAATTCAAAAAAAAAAATTAATTTTGGTCCTTTTGGAAAGAAATACTGAAACAATCCACTGTAAGGAGCATTTGTGTTTAATAATCTCTAGCCCGGTTTTCAATTTTCTTGATGTCATCATATTATCAAGCTAATTAATAATCATCATTCGTGCAAAAGGCCTTCTTGGTCATTTGCATAGGTTTAGTTGGCGCTTTAGTTCCCAACACTGAACACAAACAACTTGAGTCCAAATGAATTTGATCTTTATTTAGATCAGCTACAGGCTGCAATCAGGCTGCCATTGCAGGTTGCAGCAAAGAATATGATTTTCGCAAAGTTCTTAAAATTTTTTGAATTTGATTAGCAGTTAAAATCCATATCAGGGTCTTTCTATCTGTCATTTCAAATCACAAGCACGATAGGACTTGTACCAAATTGACAATGGCGGCAAGAAGTCAAGAACTAGCTATAAGGGTTCTTAAGTCTCGTTGAAGTGAACTCAGCAGGATATAAACCTGCACAACAAAATTCCCAGCAAACTAGGAGTTCTTGAGTGTTTGAAGCTACTTATACAATGAAATGTGCCTAATCGGCAGAGTGAAAAACAGCAAAGAAGAAAGGTCATAAACTCGGAACAGGTATTCAAATTTCAGCATAGCCACAGTTCGAATAGCAAGACATTTCATCAAGCTCAGGCGCAACAGAATCGACAGTTCATCATGGAGGAAAGGAAAGGTATTCATCATAGAGGACAGATTTGTAAGAAAAACAAAAAAACTGAACTGGTTAAGCATCCTCTCTATATCATTAAAGCAAATCAATGTACTCGTTAAAGCATGCTATCCTCCTAACTTTAAGAACATACTGGTTTAGGGTCACAACACCTGCATTAAAACTTGTTCACATAAAAACTCTTAATTACAGAACCTTCTTGGTCTTCTTACTGCAAAAGAAAATTTGTTTATCTAGATTTATAGCCAACGCTAGTTCACCACCATGAAAGCTAACTAAGTAAATATCTCTGTTTCATTTAATAATCATCCGGCTTACATAAATCTCTCAAAATAGCTGTGCACCACTCATTGCTTGTGAGAACTTAAAAATAGCTTACTTTCTGTATGAGCACGAAATTCAAGTCGGAATCAATCCATCGGGGTAGAAGACTTTGCTGCGAGAGGAATTGAACACCACCACAAGCACAACAATTGTCCACAGCAAGAAGCAGAGAACTGTTGTATAACCTTTGTTCGACAGGATCACATCGAACCAGTCCTTCTCTGCAGGAGACAGAAGTATCTCTTCCGCATCTATATTCAACAAAGTATCCAAGAGGTTTTTAGAAAGTGAACCCTTTTTCACTTTCGAAGCCTGAAGCCGAACTTCCCTCAAACAGTTTAGAACCTCCTCAGCATCAACAGTACTTGATAGTGTTGTGATTTCTTGCCTTCCAGTCTGAGATTGAGTGGTTGAAGAAGCGGCTCCATCTTTAGATACATCACAAGTGATTACGGATGAGCATGGCGTTGTTTCAGATGAAAAAACAGTAGTAGGGTTTGCAGGGACAGAAATAGGTGAAACCAAAACTTCCTGTGATAGTAACATGTATAAAATCAGCTCAAGCAAAACAATGGGAATCCATCCATCCAGTTGAGGAACAAGCACTCAACAAGGGAAACCATAAAATAGCACCAAAGGCACAGTATGATAAACTTGCAGAAACTTCCAGGTTTTGATAAACAAATCAATTCATTATTATGAAATCTGAACTCGTTTCTAAAATATAAACACTTCCTGTGAAAACAGAAAAGCAGTCATCTATCTGAGAGTTTGTCTAAGTTTACCCTATAAGTTATTGAGGATGCAGGAGTCTGTACAAGTTTATTATAATCCAAAACATGAATGGCACCACAGAATGATCAGTTCCATGGAAATTTCCACATTTTAACAGATCAAATCATATGAATTTGAATTCCATTTCCAACAGCAATAACTAATTTCCATAAAAGCAGAACAATCATTTATAAGAACGTAGGACTAAAGTTGGACTAAGTTGGACTAAAATACAACTTAAAATCAACACAAGAAAACAAGAGATATGCATCCATCAACGAATACTAAAAAGCTCTACAGAACAATCAACTTTGCAGATATTTCCACATTTTGATAATCACCTAAATTCATCATTACTAGTATCACACGGCCAATAAAAGCTTTCGTTAAAACTTAAAAACAGAACGACAGTGATTTAACAAAATACTTGACTAATTTTAGAGCTCAGATTTGAAATAAAAATGCTTCCACGGTAGCGAATCAAGCATATAACGAACTGAAACTAAATCGATAACCGGAATTTCCTCAAATGATTCAGCCAGAACGTCCTCGTCAGAAACCTCCGTGATGGAAGGAGAATCGGTGGAATACTTCAGTGAATCTTCCGAAAACGCTGAACTCAAACTTTTCGGAGTGACCTGAGAGAGAGAAACAAGGCGATTAGCACTCCGAAATTGAATAGAAACGTGCGAAAAATACCAAAAACCACTGTTCGAGGAGAGTAATTCGAAATCAGCAAAATATAAAGACCTTTGCAGGCTTCTTATTGTGAACGGAGGTTGATTTTGATCGGAGTTTCGTGGCGGAGTGGTCCTTCTGCGGCGTTTGAAGGCTGTAGTCTCTCATCGTCGCCGATTTGTTCGAGTGTGTGACTGTGTGTGAGAGAGAGATCACGTCGAATATGACTGATTTTGGCGGTAACAAATGAATTATCAGAAAATTATTCCCTCACTACGCATTGCCTTTTATATCCTAAATACTCCCTCCCTTACTCATCACTATAATAATAATAAAATATTTTGATTCCTCGTAAATTTCAGTTATTGTATTCTTCTAATTGAAAATAAACTCTTCAAAACTAATTACACTTTAGTTGTGATCTATCAATTTATTACTATAAAATATTTTTAAGATTTTATTTTCAATTGGGAAAACAAAAATAAATGGGGGAATTATATATGTATTCACATTTTAATATCCCGTAAAACAAGAAGTTCGGAAATAATTCAATAACAATGACAATAATTATGAGACGGAGGCAGTAGTATTCTTTTTTATTAAAGTATCGTCATTTCAATAGTTTCTACATAACAAGCATTGATAATTCATTTGAGAAAAAGTAATACTAGTATAATTTATATTGTTAATAACTAATGATACATGGGAGAATTTATTTCCATTCATCCGCTCTACCTATAATTAGTTTCTGATGAATTACTGGTAAAGAAGAATTTGAGAAGCACAAACCACCAACTCAAGCTTGTAGATTCTCCACAAAACATACTTGGGAAGCATTGGCCACTTGGATTGACTCCATCTCAAATGAATGTGATTTGCAAGCTTGGAGTGTTACAGCACCCCTATAAGCTTTGCAAATGTAGCCCACAAAATTTTGGTAGTCCTATCAAAAGCACATCAAGAAAAGACGTTACAAAGATGACATACTCCCTCACTATCAAAATAATCATTCAGTCTTTTACTCCTTCTATTCTAAAATTATTGTCCAGTTTGTATTTTCACTTTTAGTTTAATTCATACTGAAAATGAGAATTCAAACTGGACAATAATTTTGAGACGGAGGAAGTATAATTTTTGGTTCAATACACAGAGCCATCATTAGATCATGAAAGAGCATATTAATGTAGAGAAAGAGAAGAGTTAAGAGTGTGAGACAACTTCTTGCAAAGGTAGATTGTTGACGAGCACCCAAGGTACAAATCTGTGTGGAGGATTCAGATGGGCAGTTTCATCAGCATACCCTTGTTCTAGCTGCATTCACAAGGATAGCTTTGGTCACCAAGTTTACCAGAATGTGAATTGTTGTAAAACATAAAAATGAACACCCAAATAGTAATTACTCCTTCATTTCCTTACTACTTCAGAAAGAAGATCTTACTACTTAAAAAAACAACCTCTAAAAGCTAATACAGTTGGGTTCAATATGATCCGAGAAAAGAAAGGTTAAATATGATCAAAGATGGTTATATATGGGCTTCATTATACTTCTCTTCTACTTAATAATATTCTTTCCTGTCTCATTTTAATAATTCACTTTACTGAAATTAAAACACTGCAATAAAGTGGACACTGAAGTTGGCAGTCTTCTCCTTGGTTTCAAGTGAATATATCCAAACTCCCGATGCCTATAGACAGAAGTAATTAGCAACAAAATGAAGAAATTATGGAAGCTCACCTTAACAGCAAGACCAGAACTGAAGCAGTTCCTGATAGGCATAGAATTCAGCTGTACAGTATTGAAACAAGATTGCCACTCATTGTGCTTGTTGTTCATCCTCAACCTCTCTATGCAATATATAAACTTGTAATGCACTCTCTGCCATCAAAAATTTTACCCATTAACACGAATCTGGTTGTACCAAAAAGTCGTGTCACGCTCCAAAATAAGAGTCATGTTTTTAATAACGTACAATTTCAGACTTACTGGGTCAGGCCAAGCATAGATAGCACAGCCTTCCACCATGTTCAGCTTACATTCATCTGGGCCATGCTGCATAGTATTTGAAGAATCATATGGCTTATTTCAGAAATCGAAAACCTCATTCACTCAACAACTAGAATGGGGAATTGTATGTTGTTATATTGTACCTGGCAAACCCAGGAGTTGTTTGGTGTGATAAAAGTGTTACCCCAGGGGACAAGCCTGAGTTTCACCACTGAGGCAAGATTAGTTTGGAACACCTTCACCAGTTGATTGACTATGAAGTTTGCACAGAATGGACACAAGGATTCATAGTATAGCGATAAAACTATGCCGCCATTGACGCCGTCGCCTTCAGGATCATCAGCTAGAGATTGGTTACTGATGAAACAACTCAAACAAAGCATAAAGAGAGCTGCAGAAACAAGAAATCTTGATGCCATTATCCCCTTTTTCTCTTGTCTGCTACTTTTTTTTTCTCTTTGCACAAAGTGAAAGTTTGCTTTAATTGTACATTACAAGCTCTCTTCTTTTATTATGGGATCATTTTATTCTGTTTTTTATTTCCCACTTTTGGTTCCTTTTTTGTTTTTCTGTCAGTTGTTTTTCTTTTTATCGTTTATTCTTGTACCACTGTCCTAGCAAAAAGTCCACAGCTGACTCATGAATCAGTCATCAAATAGGAGGTGAAAAATAACCAAAATGAATGCTCTAATTTATTTCTCCATCTACCACCAGATTCTTGACCTGCAGCATCAGTTTGGCTGACACCATAACATGTTGAAGTAAATGACCTCCAACTTGCATGGATGGTGTTTCATATCTTGGTCCGGTTTCTTATGTTTTTTTTTATTTTATTTATTTATATATATATTTATGCAAAATACACCTTTTTACATTTCCAATGTGAAGATCAAAACCGTAACCATATGTTTATGACGGTCAAACATTTGAATGACTAGCTTCTGAAGATCAAGCCAGCTCCAGTTTCTCACTATAGAACCTAACCAGTTAAATCTCCAAGAAATGAACTATACAGTATACAATCATTGATCATCCTGCTGCTTCAATTGCTTGTATGCACTCCAGAACTGTTGCTTTGTTTGACATTGCAGCCATTAGTGCTTCATGAAGTACCCTATTGTTTTTAATCAGAGATCCAGCAAAGAGGACCTGCAACGTAATGTAGTTGCAGAGATTTAAACTCATAACAAAAAAGGTATGTAAAGACTATGAAGTAAAGACAGAATCAGAATGGTCTTAATGAACTTACTGCCCATCTGGTGAGGTTTTGTTGTTGATCTTTGCTAAGTTGTGGCTTGCTTCTATTAATGAATCTCTGAAAGGAAAGAAGAAATCAAGAACACAACCAACATATTCGAGACAAGTAAAACTTGTACATTTTCCAAAAAAAAAAAAAGGAAAAAAAGAAAAAGTAAAACTGCAACACGGCATTTTCATTTCCACCGAATGTAAACAGACCTGCAGAGTGAACAAGTCAGCAGATTGACCAACCACTTTATCATATTTTAGACCCTCTGCTGCCAATCCAGCCATTGCAACAACTGCTAACCTGATCAAAACAGAGGAACGCTTCATTTACAGTCTTGAAACAGTGAACTCTTCCCATTACCACACATTCTTCAGACATGGACAGGCTTTGAATGCATATAAACAAGTTGAACTATGAATATTTTGAAGTCAAACTCCAAATATAAGTTTTTTGGTTTCTGCATTGCCAATGCACAATAAGAGATTAACCTATTCTATGCATGTTGGAAGTTTTATGAAGGATTTTCAACCCTAATTTCAAGCTGCATATGCCTGAAAGTTCTCATCAAGGCCTATTCATGTAAAGCTTGGAACTACTTTTGTGCTTGTTTTCTATATCAAGTTTAGGTTAGCAAAACAAATTGAACAGGAACAATATACAAGATCTGTTATAGAATCCTTTTCCAATACAAGGGCTCTTGTGAAGCAACAAAGAAAGGGACATCAATAAATAAATAAATAACCAACTTTAAAATTATTGCCTAGGTTTACATCTTTTACAAAAGTTACCTGTCTAGTTCCTTTGCATCAAGTTGTCCACTATATATTAGTTTTTCCAGTCTTTTATCAATCAAATTGACGTGCTCTTTTCCAATGTCCAATGAATACTCCAGGATAGGTAACCCAAGTAAGTAGGCAACTGAAAATGAAACAAGTAGAATTGTCACTCGACAACCATTTTCTCCTAAATCTGAAACAACAGATCTTGTGAAACATTTTTCAGGATAGCATCAAAGGGTGTTCTCAATTTGCAAGCATCTGATACGTTTTCTGTCCTCACACCAAGTTACTTTGATCATATTATATCAACTTAAAAGGATTAACCTTCACACTTCATTTACTAAGTGCCATTAGTTGATATATATATATATATATATATTTTTTTTTTTGAATTTCTTTTCTGTTGAAGGAGATATTGTTTTGAATAGAGATTCCCTTTGCAAATGTCAAATTCCTCCTAAGGAATTAAAGAAAGTATAAAATGCTTCTTTTCCTTTCTTCTTCTTTTTTTTTTTTTGGTTGGTTGAATAATGCTTCTCTTTAATTCAACATTATAGTTATGATAAATTTCTTTTCTTATGAAGCACTTTCAATCTACTTAGGAGGCAATAGTAAAATGTCAGAATCCCTCTAAAAGTTTGACTAATCCCACAAAATTCATTAGATCTGATGTTATACATGTATGCGACTAATTAGGAAGAATGTTAAATTCTTTAAATACAACCTGAATACATTCTCAATAAAGTTCCAGAAAAATGAAGCCAATGCTTATGTACACTTTGTAAAAGAAATTTTCCTTCTTTGAGCTACTAAAAGTGTACCATGAGTGAACAACTACATGGAAATTTGGACACTCTTTTTGGATGTGATAGGGTGATATTTGAGGAAAAGCTTACCTAAAAAGTGAGCTGCTTCATGTCTAGCAATTCTCTCCTGGTAATCTGGAAAAAAAGATGAAAATCCACCAATGGCTGCCTGAAGGAGACTATATCATAAAATAGAGAATCAGGCCAAAGGATGACATGCTCCCAACGTAAGTGCATGATCAGGGATTTTTCTGGAAGATTCCTACTTACAAGTTGTCCACATAATATCACTTTTACTAATCATGTAAAAGATGATTCTCACATTTATTTCTACTACGTTTTTCTTTGCTTACCCGGGGGAAATGCTCCCTACTGCCAGAACAATCAAAGAGATGCTTCCAATTAAGTATGGCACGAAGAAACCCCAATCCTGCAAAGAGATGGATCTCAGAGGTTAATATTTTTCGAAGGAAGAGACTTGTCTTGTTTTCAACAAGTCTTCAAGTGATTGTGTGTGCATATGTGCCTGTGTAAGGAACATTATGCTGAAAAGTAACCACCAAGAACACTACAGTTATCAAAACCAGAGAATTTCAATGGAAAATTAGGGCCTTAATTTATACCCTATACTTCTTCACAGGCAATAGTTTTGCACCAATAAACATCAGGTCTAGAAGGATAATACACATACGGTCTAATCACAATCCTTAACACGCTTTAGTTGATTGCAATGAGAAAATGATAATAGCTGAAATCAGCAAAACTCAGATTGCACATTCTCAGACCATAAAACAGATAAAAACATTAAATGGATAATATCTCAACACAAATTACATTACATTTGGCCGGGAGATACAAATTGGTAATTGCAGTCCTAGTTCAGAAATCTCCAAAGAGGTTAAAATAATACTTTGGGAGATTACTTTTCATACTAATAAGGGGAAGAACAAAAAGAAAAGAGAGTCTAAAGGAGTTGGTTGGATCTAAATGAAAGCAATTTGAACAATTCCCAGAAGTGGTCATAAATGATTACCCCGGGAAGCTGGCTCGTGAGGACACCCAAAAAACTAGTTGTTCCCACTACCGTAAACAGAAAAGCTGCCTGCACCACTGAAAGCAATTCATCAAATGATAATCGGGACAAATATCAAGTACTTGAAGGTATACAAGAATCTATCAAACGATTACATAGCCTTCTTAAACAATTGTGAAATAGATGAGATTTAGAAAAACCAAAATCGGATGATAGAGATAATAATAGTAACATTGCAACAAGAATATGCATCAGAGGTTTCAAAAGTGACTATCAACTAAACTGAAAACTCATTTCAGTGTGATTGTTATGAGAAGTAAGCCGTCTGCTTAATTACATTATGGTTCCGGCACTGATCACTACCAAAATGGCAAATGGAACAATTTTAATGAAATAAGCTTCTATTATGGAGGAAACTTGCAGAAACATGAATTAAGCTTCTATAATGAAATAAGCTTCTACAATGGCAATGATACCAGAAACATGAAGACATTGCTAATGGAGAAAACTTACATCATTTCTAACACTTGGAATTGCAAGGTTCTCTGCATTTTTAATCCCAAGAGTTGTCAGCTCCCGTAGAGAAGTCTACACAAATTGCAGGTTACATACAGTTAAGTTTTCAGCAGACAACAACAATAAAATTTACTTAAGGTAAAAGTAAATGTGTATTTACATGTACATTTGTAAACAAGTGTAGAATTGATGAGTTAATGCCCAATTAGCACTTTGAAAGAAAATTTCTAACTCTCAAGTTAGACTGACCGGACGACGTGAAACATACGGTTGTGAACTCCATTTTCGGGCCCAACCAGCTTCACTCAGCTGATCCAGTACTTCTTTAACTGCATCACTATCTTTCTGCAGAATATGCAATTAAGTCCATATAAAAATAAGCAAGACAGTGAGAAACTTTAAAAGAAAAGAAATCATAAACGGCACCATATCCAAGTGACAGTCTGACAGATGATAACATCTAGCATGCTTGGTCCCTAAGACCTTAATAATTTCTCATCTATTCTGGGCTTAAATGCTTGACATGCATTATTTACAACCTATATAACCGTCTTTAATCATCTTCTTAAAAGCATACTTACAAGATTGTGATGAAAAGCATGATCCAGTTATACATTTTATGTTACTTATCAGAATAAGATTTTCCATGACTACTTAAATTCCAGAAACAGAATTTGAAAAATGATCAACAAAATTCCCTTTTGATTGACTAGTTAAACCCGTGAATATCCATCCTCTCAACAAACTATACATGTCAAAAAAGTTTATATCATTTCCCCTTGAATTAAACAGAACAACTATCCTAATACGAGTCAGACTCAAAACAATTATGCACTCTTCTGAGCAATATGAATCAAAATTTCATGTTTATATCAATGTAGCCTAGAAATTCCAAACAAATTCACCAAAATCAACATTCACACCAGTAGTACCTTAACAGCAAAACTGATCCATAAAACAAAATAACAGAAACCCGAAAAAAAAAAAGCTTGAAGAAAAACATCCCAGGAAGAAAGATTTAACCTTGGAAATGGCAGATTCAAGAGAACTGAAATCAACACCAGGAACAGCAGATGATGAAGAAGCCCTTATTTTACTCCACCAACTTGAATGATATGTGAAGCAGCTTTGGTTATTCCTATATCTGACAAATCCATGATGGTGAGAATGCTCAAAGAGGAGGGAAGAATGAAGGGATGAAACAGCTGTAAAAGCCATGTTTTTTTTTTTCCCAGCCACTCTTCTTGAAAAGAGCTGGTTGGTTTATTGTGGGGATGATATTGCTGATAAGGCTTTGGCGGGAGGAAACTGGAAACAACCTCAAACCGGGACTTCCGGTCGAACCGGGTAGACAGAATGATGTCATAACTTATAAGACTCTAAACCGGGTTCGACCGATTGGGTGGTCCAGCTCAGCTACACAAAAGCCGGTTTTAATATCGGGAACGACGGCAGATTCAACATTGGTACTTCTAAATTTGGAAATCCCGGCGCCGGCCGGCTGAACAGAAAAGGAAGGCTTAAAGCTCTTGGCTTTCTCTTTCTTTCGCCTCTTCTCTCTCCCGTGATTTCCATTCCATTTGCTGTTAACATATTTTTCTGATATATTTGGAATCCCTCCAATAAGCTAAACTAAAGATTTGTTAAAGTTGAGTGTTATTTGTTTCCTTTCGTATGAAATTATCATGGTTGGGGAAGTTGAAATGTAAGATTTTGATTGTTTTTGGATTATTATTTGTTCTTCTTCATAGGTCCACGTGATTACTCAATCTTTGATGACATGGTGTTTGTAGGAATGACTGAAAGAAGCTAAAGTGGTTTGGACGTTATGGAAGCTTTAAAATTGGCATTCCATCCGGGTTATCATCGTTGATCTCATTCAGTACGATATGGCTGCTAACATGATCCTCTTAGCGAATGTTTTACCCAGTTCATTCTGGAGGAGCCCACATTGTTGTAGTTCATCTAAAGGAAGGCAAACGGTTCGTGTTCCAGTCTTGAATTTAGCAGCTGCAATGGCTCCTGTTAAAAGAAGGTGAATTTAGTTTCCATAGACACCCTTCTTTCCCCTGAAGAATCCAAGTTTTTTAAGTTTGACCTTGTGACGCTTGGATTTATTGCAGTTGTGAGTTCTATGATATGCATCATGAAATAGTTCCCTATGCGGAAGCATGGTCTTGGCAGAAGGACATTGTTAAGCAGAAGAAAGCATTGAATGATAAGGGAGAAGACACTTTGGACACACTGATCATTTTGCAACACCGTCCTGTATATACTTTGGGCACCGGTAGTTCGGAAGGATACTTGAATTTTGACTTGGAAGATGCCCCTTTTGATGTTTATCGAACAGAACGTGGAGGTGAAGTTACATTTCACGGACCTGGCCAGGTAGTCTGCCTACCCAAGTTCTAACTTTTTGCATTATCTCATCTGTTTCAGAAAGCTGATAAATTTTTTTTTTCTTTTTTTTTTTTCTGGAGATAGTTAGAACTGAACATAGGTTAAGCTGAGAGGGTTCTGGTACTGTTCATGTTTTGTTTTTGATATAACTGTATTCTTTTTCTAAAGGAAATACAATTTGTATTTGTTTAGCTCCTTAATTTAGGGCCTAGCATGTGCATGCTTTTTGTCTGGATTGAGTACTCATGAATGTTATGACATGAAATTCTACTGTTAGATGTGTGTAATACTGTGCTGTAACTGCGTTCCATGATATGAAGGATGATAATACTTTATCAGCGTCAAAAGGTTCTGTTGATATAATTACCTTTTGTGTATTTTCTTTTGTAGCTAGTAATGTACCCTATAATCAATCTCCGATATCATAGGATGGATCTTCATTGGTATCTCAGGGCACTTGAAGAAGTGGCCATTCGTGTTCTTCGCTCAACATTTGCCATCAAAGCTTCACGCGTAGAGGGCTTAACTGGTGTTTGGTTTGGTAGGTTTTCTCTCCCCTGATTATTTTGTCGTTGTATGTCCCACCTGTACCTAATGGTTTTCAGCTGATTCGAGGTCATTCTTGTTTTGATTTTGAATGATGGAATTCATCATCTATCTGAAGCTCATTCTACATCATGCATAAAAATCTGAATTTTTATAGATACATGACAAATCTAAATTTCAGCTGAATCAAGGTCATCCTAGCTTTCTGAAATGTGCTTGAATTATCTGTCATGTATGTTTGTTCACAGATTCATTATGCTTGAGCATCAAAAGTTTCTGTGACCGCAAGGCAATTTTCTGGCCATACTTCGTTTTAAAGGTCAATTATCTTTTTTTTTCCGACCAATATATAATGATTCCGATGTGGCAATCTTTCAGGGGACCAAAAATTGGCAGCCATCGGTATAAAGGTCTCGCAGTGGATAGCTTATCATGGCTTAGCATTGAACGTTACCACTGACTTAACCGGCTTTCATCAAATTGTCCCTTGCGGCATTCAAGATCGTCAAGTTGGGAGTATCAAAGGCCTGTTGCAAGAATTTGCTTCATCTAATATATTTGAAGACGGGCATCCGTATCATAGCAATGATAACGAACTAATCGACCTCACATCTAAATCACTAGTTCAAGAATTTTGTGAAGTCTTTCAAGTTGATCTTCACCAAAAGCCCATCCCAGTAGGTATTTCCAGGCTAGAAACAAATATTGAAGTGGGATTGTAAAGCACTAGCAAAGAGTTTTCGAATAACTTTTCAATTCTGGGTAGTCTTAGCTTTGGCTTTATTCAAAGGTTTGAGGACAATCCTCCATTTGAATGCTACACATGTACTGGCAAATCCTTAGAAACTTTTGTCCAAACTGATCAGATGTGTATCCTTGTTTGCATCTGGTTCATTGTAAAGCAACTATTTTGTTTTTTGTCACATATTCTGTTTGATATTTATCGTATTGTTCTTGTGACCATTTTCTTTTGTCACTGGGAGTATATTTAAGGCCAGTTCCCACCTTACACTGAAGCACTTCTTTTACCAACCAGTTTACAAATGACTTCTGTTACTACCAGCTGCGACCTTCTACCACCGACGCCACCGTCACCGTCGCCCTCGCCCTCGCCGGCGTCTACGGCGGATTCTGAAGCCCAGCTGATTCCCAACCTCCCAGATGACGTTTCATTAAACTGTCTAGCTAGAATTCCTAGACCCGATTACCTCAAGCTCTCACTTGTTTCGAAATCATGGCACTCCGCCATGTCCAGCTCTGCTCTTTTCGCCACCCGATCGCTTCTCCAAACCACCCAGACATCCCTCTACCTCAATCTCCGTATCGGTTCTAACTTCCATTGGTACACTCTCCTCCCAAAACCAAACGCTCAACAAAAACCTTTTGTTATTCCCCTCCCACCCGCCCCTTCTCGGACAGTGGGTCCTGCATTCGCCGTCATCGGCCCGAAGATATACGTAATTGGGGGTTCGGTGAATGAAGTCCCGTTGAATTCTGTGTGGGTTTATGATTGCAGGTTTAATAGGTGGGAGGCCGGGCCGAGAATGCGTGTTGGGAGGGAGTTTGCAGCAGCTGGGGTGGTGGGTGGGAGGATTTTTGTTGTGGGTGGATGCGTTGTGGATAACTTGTCTCGGTCGGTGAATTGGGCGGAGGCGTTTGACCCGGTTACAGGGGAGTGGACGCCAGTTCCGAGCCCAATTGAGGTGAGGGAGAAATGGATGCACGCCAGCGCGGTGATTGGGGAAAGAATTTACGCAATGGCGGACAGGGGCGGCGTGGTGTATGATGTTGGGGAAGGGAAGTGGGGGAGTGTGTGCAAAAGGCTTGATTTGGGATGGAGAGGCCGGGCCGCCGTGGTGGGAGGGATTCTGTTTTGCTATGACTATTTAGGCAAGATTAGAGGGTATGATATGGAGGAAGATCGGTGGAAAGAGTTGAAGGGTGTGGGGAAAGGATTGCCAAAATTCTTGTGTGGAGCGACAATGGTGAATTTTGATGGAAGATTGTGTGTCATTTGGGAGGGGAAAGGGAGTGGGAAAGAGGTGGAGATAATGTGTGCGGATATTGAGGTTTGGAAGGACGGAGATGGTGAGCTAAGTGGAAGGATTTTGTGGTCTGATGCAATTCTTAGAGTTCCTAATGGAGCTGCAATTGTTCATTGCATGGCAGCTGACTTCTGATGGTGAAACTCGAAATCAGGGTGAGTGAGTTTTTTCTTTTTTTTTTTTTTTTTTTGTTGCGTTTGAATTGTTTCCGCAAGGCATTTTTCATATCTCAGAATTCAGATGTATATAGTTAGTATTTCATGCATTTAAATTTCTTTTGACCATCCTAGTGTTGCTACTGGCATTTGTTTAGCATTTCAACCGGCTGATGCTAGGATAGAAATTCATGTGAATCTCAAGTGTACATGCTTCTCCATGCGATGTCGGGGATGTTTACGTATGTTGAATGGCGACTAGTCTAATCCTGAACTTTGAAATGGCTGGTGAGTTGTGAAGGAGTTCCTCACAGCGATAGGCGAATTTGGTGCGTCAGTTGCTATTCTGACAAAGTTGTAACATCCTTGAGTTTTTTTTTTTTTTATAATTTAATGGTACCTGTTTATTATTTAAAGATACCTAGACTATTACAGTGCATTCTATTATAAGCTAAATTATGTAATTCATGAACGTCTTGTCTACTTTAATCAGTTCACAAGACTCAAAAGAGGAAATCAGTGAGAGTAACAGGACTCATCATTTGATATATATTGGAGATTTCTCCTCTGGACTTTTAATAAGACTTCACCATAAGCTCAAGTAGCAGAGAATGAGGTTTTGTTTTACTCAATTAAAGGCAACATGAGAAGTGATGTATGTTTCTTTGTGTTTCCAACTTACCATAATGATCTTCAATACAATAGTGAATAGTCCTATTCTAGTGGAGGAAACTGCATTGCGTGACTTCTTATAGGTCTAGATTTGATGCTCACAAATTGAAGTTAGATTTCTTGTGGAGGATATATGAGACCAGAAACTGAGTTGAGCCATAAGTTCATTGGAGACTCGAGTTGATTAAACTTTGACTTGCTTCCTTACACTTGCCCCAATCTGCAGTCCTGCAATAACGGTTCCTTTCTGTTAAATTTCGTCAGAAGAACCAAGAAGTAGGTTCTTCTCATTTATTTCATACTTTTTAAGGCTGATAAATTCTCATAGAAGTTTGAGATTGGAAAATACTTTTAAAAGTGGTTGTCTCATTTCTTTTCTCGTACTCTCTTTGTTTGTCATTAAAATGAAGGCCATACCCTTTCTTCATTTCCTATATGGCCCACAACAAGGGTTTTTTGCTGTATTGAAGCTGCCATGGGATTATCCTTTCATTCTTGTGTAGGAGAAAAGTTCTTACTTCACTTTTTTTTTTTTGGCTCAATAGGTATGTTTGAATCGTGGTATCTTAAAACTAGATCGCTGTTATTATTGGATGAAATTGTGTGGTTTTCACCATATTCATGCCTCAAGTGGTACATTCTAGATTGCTACTCTGCAATGGTACTACTTCCGTCATCTGTATGCTTGACCACAATCAGGCAGTAAGCAGACAATGGAGTTCAGTGCAGCTCTCCAGCTGCTACAAGTTAACGCCTTCCTGTGGTGGATGTGCATTTTGGAGCAGGGTAGACCATACGAGGAGGGGCTGTAGATAATATGCGACTCATGTTTGGTGCATTCTTTAAGGCCATTCTGAAGAAGTGCACTTCCAATCTGGTCCTGTAATTGGGCAAAGTTGCCAATCAAATAAAATAATTAGGTATGTCGTGAAAGCTTCCGAAGCTACGAGAATTAAGTGTATGATTTTATTTTATTTTTAATTCTTGTAATCTACGTTAACGTGTATTTGTAAAAAAAATACAATGTAGATGTTGGAATTTCTGTAGTTCCTGGAGTAATCTGATACCTTTTTTGGTTGTTGGTTAACTGATGCATTCTTTTCCATGTTTGATTGGTCAAAATTGTAAGGGATTGAACATTGAGCTATGATATTAGTGGCCGAGGGTGATATTTAGGCCGTTTAGAGGTTAGGTGGGGTATATTTATATGATTTGTACAAAAAAGAAGATCATTCTGAATACTTGAACGAAAGAATCCCTTATTAACCAAAGTCATTCCAGTTGTCCATCTTTGTGCAGAAAACTTTTGGTGGAGTCTTAAGTGTCTTCCACAATCCTTAGGAGCGTGGCCGCCTTCTCCTACATTAGTTTAACTTGGAACTTCTAAATATAGTGACATGGGAGTATGCTTTGGAGCTTGGACTACGGTCATTCCCGTACGAATTGTAGGACCAATGATTTTAAACTAAGATCAGATCTGCACAACACTGAATTTCGACTGTACAGTTTCCAATTTTTACGCAGAAGTTTCTTTTTTAATTACTAGTATTTTTATTTTTAACTTTCTTATCATCGAGTTGTGTCAAGCAAGTCATAACCGCTATACATTAATAGCATTTCTCCTAAATTCAAGAGCCATGTCTTCATTTTTGTCATCAACGCAGAATGGTGCAAAACTTTAAAGATGTCCTCCAATTCCACAATCAAGTTAGACGAGTGGTGTCAAAGCCAAATCTTCAAGATCAAGAATTCATAGCTCTTACGATAGACATGATAACCAGATTATATACGCACCTGTTCTCAAAATCTACATCAAACATTTATTATGATCAATAAGAACAAATAATGTTTGCTGTACACGTTTGTATATTAGCAAAGCACAGTATCTATTAATGTAAATGAATATGATAATTATACACAAGAGAGGTGAAAGATACAATTGCTTGAACTATTGGATACAAAAACACAATCAATCACGGAAGATTGGTAACTTACAGAGAATCAAACCGTCGCATTTACTCTGATTTAGTAATTTCAACTCGCTCAAAACACATTCCACGGGATACGACAGTCAACACAAGCAAAATTGGTGCAATGTCCTTGCCCCAAGAGGACTTTCCATTCATTATGCGAACATAAAAACTTTTGTATAGGGTAAGAACCCAACACTCTCTTTCCTTATTTTAGTCTGGTACCTTCCTTCTTCAAGTAGTTCTCGAGTTGTACTAGGGCCTGAAGACCAAGCATAATAATCAAATATTAACTTCGAGCCTAGGGGACCAAAGTCAGGTGCCAAATATATCGAAGTACAACTCTAGTAAAGTTACAGGCTATGAAGGCTATGCAATCAAAAGTGAAATCTCTTATCATAGACGTATCAGGACAGCAGCCAGGGAACTGAAAGGATAAACAAAGAGTACCCTCAGTGTCATGCTATCAATTTCCCACTACCCGCCCAGCGAACATGCAAGCAAACTATCCTTTTGAATGCTGTCACTATGAGCTAAATAAAGTAGGATTGAAAGTGCCAAGGCATACTTACTCGACCAAAAAATGCACAGAAACAAGGACTATCTATTTTGAATGCCTAGTTAAAGACATACCTCAACTGCAATTGTCGCAGGCGTGAGCTTGCATACATCTTCACATCCATATTTGACTGCCATATCTGCAATCTCAAAGCAATCAATAAATATCCATTTCCTTTTTAATTTGGGGTTACGTTTTATTTTTGAGTTTTTTCATGAAGCTTCTAGGGTAGGGAAGTGGTCTACTGAATAGAACAAGATAGGAATGTTGCAGCTTTTAGGTCTGGTCTGGAATTGAGATAAAGTTTGAGAGAAAAGGAATAGTGAAACTGGCTGAACCATACCTTCAAGGGAAACCCTGGCATTGGCATTGGCATAAGCTTCCCCTCTCTCCTCTAGAAGGGTAGTCAAACGCTTGAAAGCCTGCATAAAATGAAGATAGCCATCAGATATTATCTTCATGATGACAAAATATGCTTTAAACAAACCAAAATATTGGTCAGCTCCAGCACATTCAACAACAGAACAGAACACCTGTGTATAAGCGTCTCCTGATTCACCACTGAGAAGTGGGCGTGAATCAGTTCCAACCTCTGCAATTCTCCGTGCCAAGGCTTCCAAAGGTACATCTAGCCAAACACTAAGTCCTTTATGCATGTATTTCCTGACATCACAAAGTAAATAGAATCACAGAAGCATAGTCAATAATGAAGTTTAATGCACAAAAGCACGGTAGCAACAGATGAACAATACTGATGATACCAATTAATGGGCCGAACAACTGCACCCCCACCTGTCGAAACAACTAATCGTTGCATTGATGACACCTTTTGTAATACTTCAGTCTATAGCAAAGGAAAAAAAACTGACAGCATTAGCACAAGTAATCAAAGATGACATATGATATGCACTGTGCTTCCTCGAAGTCCTCTACCACAAAAAAAAAAAGGAAAAAAAAAACAACCCCAACAACAACAACAATAATAACCAACAGCTCATGCAGCATTGTAGTGTCCTAAAAACTTTTTGACATGTTTTTGGATATTTCTTCCTTTCCCCAAAAGTGCAAATTCGTTTACTGATTAACTGCAGCTCAGATGTTGTCATTGGTGTAAAATCAACAAATCTGTTTCCCTTTTCTTTTTTCACTCGAATGTGTTTTTTTTTTTTTTCTTCAAACGAGGGTTTACTTCATCACTTAACGCGAAGTGAGTTCCCAAGTCAAACCTTTAACTTCTTATAACAATCATTTCATTTGTTTCACATCTGTAGACCACTAAAACTTTCCAATGCTGCACATCTCAAGAATGCAGCTTTGAAAGATAATAAGTTGATAAATAGTTTACCTCATTGTTTCTGAAGAAACTCTCACCATACAATTTAAAGATCTCAGCAACAGTTATTCCTCCAACTGTCTGCTCTATTAGTGTGTCACTGAAGCATTTTCAATAGAAATCAAAAGAAAGAAAAATAAAAAGAAGATTAGCCAATAAGAAAAAGTAAAGGAAAATTAAAGACACTTTTTGCGGAAATTAACATCATAAAAAGAAACCATCCTTATTCGTTTGATTATAAAGCACGTCCCTGTGTTAATAACAGTAAAAGATACACCTTTAATGACAAAAAACATTCTTCTTTATAAAGTAATAATTAATTGATTGCAGTAAAACCATAATCAAAGAAAAAGAAAGTGATCTCGAGACAAACCAGTCGAAGAATGAATAGTTGAGGGATTCTGACAAAATCCTACCAACAGTTGTTTTCCCAGATCCCATCATGCCTGCAATAGAAATTCGCCACCAAAAGTTAATGAGCTTTACGCCATTATTCAGGCTACTTTTATTTAACAACAGAAGATCCAACTCCATTAGAAACTAGTCCATTACAGTTCATTACGAAGTATTTTCCTTAAGTCACATGGTCCACTGGCATTTTAGGTTTGTTTAAACTCCTCTCCCTACCAACAAAAGAACGCAAACACATACTGTCCATTTACCCTAAAAGGAAAAGATAAGCAAAAAAGAAAAAGGAACATAAAGGAAACATCCATTCATCTTCTATTCCCTACAACTAAGAAAAGGGTTCAGATAGTCACATAAAAATTTAAAATAAAAGAAATCGCAATCTTAACTAGCAGTTACTACAGAGTTAGTAATGAATTGCCAAACTTCCAAGATATTATCTTGTAAAGCTCAGCTGATGGGGACAAGGAATGGTAGAAGAACCCTATCAGTAGGTTCTTCCATATTTATGCCCAGGATCATCATGATCCAAGGAAGGGGCCAAAGTGTTGGGACTTTGGTTAAGTTAATCCTTTATTAAGCAGTAATTTAATTATTTATTTCAGTATTAATACTTAGGAAAGGATATTTTAGTATATTAGCTATGCTGCAGGAATTTCTTGGAATAAAAAGGAAATTAGGTGAGAATCCTAGTTGTCTTTGGTTTAGGTTAAGTTTTAGGCCTATTTATATGTACCTCATATGAGGAGATTTTTTAGAGACGTTGATTAATAAAAATTCCTACAATAAGCTTTGCTTTGCAATAGTTGTGTGACTCAACTAAATCCTTGGTGTGATGCCTAGGATTCCTGCGGTGTGACGCCAAAGGGCCCTAAGAGTGATTCTCAGGTTTTCTTCTCTTCTTCCTTTCCTATCCTTAATCCCTGTTTTCCTGCGATTTCCAAGCTTGTTTTCCTACAGATTCTTTTAGTTTCCGCTGCATACTACTCTTTAATCAGCCTAAGTTCTGATTTCTTAACCACCACGTTTTTGTCCTGCGCCATCAGCACTTAACCATAACACAAAAATTAGCATGTGTTGAAAGATTTGTTCCAAGTAGAGATAAGTCAAGAGTGAGGAACCAAGAGGTATTTAATGTTTGAAATAGGTCACAAACAGCCGACACTGTAAAGAACTGATCAGTAAACAATATGAAATTCCCTCTGCAGGAGCCAACAAAGTCCAGCTCAGACAAGTCATCAGAAAAAGTACATTTGTCCCCTTTAAAACAAAAGAGGTTTTGCTTTCTAAATTGCTCAATTTAAACCATCTCCCTCCACTTCCATCCAGCCCGAAAACCTTTAAATTCTCAAGGTTCTCTCACTAGTGATACAATCAAACTCCTCATAAAACTCAAACCCTTATTCATTGTATTAAAAGAAATAGCAATTTGAATAGCAATTGCAGTGTTCTACCAATGAGTTGCGGGAATCCCAACATATTTCTCTCCTAAACTTTAGCATTTAATGATCTAAAATCCGAATTTCTGAAAGATTACAGGAGCTTCAATTACAAAAGTCGTTTTTGGAACAATTTTTCGCAAATTGTGGTAATTCAAATTGTGTTAAATGCAATCATTGTCCTAAAAGTCCAATTCATAAAAGGTAGATCAATGCATGCATCAAGAGCGGCTTGCTTTTACAATCACAGAAGGACCGGATCTATATAAGTTCTTCCTTAGAAGACTCCAAATTAAATGGATCAAAAAAGACAGTGAATGGCACGCCTATGCAGGTTCTTCTTAAGAAAACTCCAAATTCAATGAACCGAAAAGACAAAGTGAATGGCACACCAATATGAAGCAGACCGGTTAACCATGTTGCGAGGGGTTAAACTTAAGGGAGTCAATACCTAAAGTTTCAATTAAGAAAGGCTACCTTTCGAACGCAGCTAATCTTTCTTCCAAATATCTTACTAAGATAAACTTGACACATTCACTACCAAAAATTGAAAACTAAGTTTTAATGGGTGAATAAAGCAACAAGATACACATCTGTCTAATCTGCCAATGATGGCATTAAATGAAACTTCATATTAATTCACAAATAAGAGAGGAAGGAAACTAACCAACAAGATATATACAGCGTCCCTCAAGTAATGATCCAACATCTTCTGCCTTGTTCTACATTTGTGAGTGATTAATGGAACGGTTATGAGCACATACTATGCAAGTTAATATGCTGAGTCAGAAAAGAATGTGTTACTTATACATATATACAAATTGCAGGAGGTAACATATACCTTTAAAAGAGCAGCTTCATCAACAGATATTAGCGCACTTTCGGACTGAAGCACCGAAGCTACAAAACAGAATCAAACAACCACGAACTATTGTTATAAGCTAATCAAGTTACTTTCTGCGAAGTTATTCCTCCAGAATTGGAAAAGGAAGGGGAGTTCCCAACAACAAGGCACAAGTTAGCAAATTGACATCCATATTGGAGATCTGGTCTTGTACACAAGATAAATGTCCTCGTAACTAAAAGGCACCAAAGTCTATTGAAGAGAATCCTATCATTTGAGAATGGTAAGTGAAGGGCACGTAATGCACCGTGGTATATCATGAGATTGTCTCTCTTATTCAAGTTCATCTCCATGCAACTCAATCTTCTTAAGCATGCAAAACTTGCAAAATTCTGCTTTCTTGCACGGTAAACAACTTAAAATATTTCATAGTTGTTACATAAGTGTCTCAAACTATGAAGAAAGCATAATACCAGTATTCTAGTCATATCCCAAATACTATCCATACTTTGATATGTTTCTCAACAATTATCACTCTCTCCTTGTAGTTTTAAATATTTTCAATTTGACTAATTGGAAATGCACTTGGGATCAAATCATTTTGGCTGATTATAACCAATAGTATGAATCCATCACCTTGAGTTTTCTGAGAACTAAAGCTACTTATCTCATCGTACCTTGAGTTTTCTGAGAACTAAAGCTACTTATCTCATCGTACCTTGAGTTTTCTGAGAAGAACAAGAGACCTTTAATACTACGGATTTCTGCCCATTCCAACCTTTTCTACACCCAAGATCATAAGAAACAATAGTTTGAAAATTCTTCCAACCGCTTCCACTTTGTCTTTGACTAAAGTGCAATGAACCACCATGTCTTCTCACAATATTGTCTGAGCTTCTCCATGTTGACCAATGCAAACTTTGTGCTACTTTTGCGTCCATGTTAGTACCCAGCAACCCAAAAAAAACTAAAAGCCAAAGTCCCCTAAATTAAAATCCCAAGTGCCCTTCACCTTCTTCAGGCCTCTTGCTCTTTGACTCTGCAAAATCACAAAGAATGACTGAAAAGTGAAAACCCAGAACAGAGGAATTCGTAAAATTGATGAAACCAGATAAAAATTCATTCTTTTTGGTCTCATTTCCGCAATTAAACGAGAGTATACAACATATACCCAAACGGACATTAAAACAAGCTTATCACAAACATTGAATCACTTCATCATACAGCTTATGTGCAAGAAAAAAAAATTGCAACCCAGAAAGCAAAAAAATCAGGAAAACTAAAACAGGGGGTGTTAGGCTTACCAGAACCAGAGGAAGAAGATTTGTTAGGTGAGAGCTAAAGGCGCAATGGAGGTTGGTGTGATTTTGGCTTTTGGATGTAGTAGTTTATTCTAATTGCTGGGGTAGGTAGAGTTGAATGTGGATGATCAGATAGATTTCTGTTTTCTAAAAAGTTTTTTTTTTTTTTATTTACACTTTTCACTACTTCAATTCAAAGTTGTTTTTCACATTTTCTATTCTTTGAAGAAAAATTGAAAGTTCGTAATCATCTTTGGTGGGCAGAAAGCCAGAAATCTGGGCACGTGATTACACAGGACCCGTTCTGCTTGTGTAATTACGATTTTGACCTCGGCACAATTGGGTAAGCTTTTGACCTGAATTGATCAATTTTATGGGGACTGATATAGAATAAACAGATACTATGGGGTCATAACGAAAAACTGAAATAAAATAGGTGGGGATTTATGAGAGGGAGTATTTTTCACCCTCTAGAAACATCTCCTTCAAAACGCAAACACTCCTCCGTTCTTCTCCTAGTTCGAATCAGCCATCGTCGCCACCGTGCCATTCCACCGCCATTCTACGACGTTGTTGAAGGGAAAAAGAAGCTCTGATTTGAGGCAGCAATGGCGACTGTTATGCAGAAAATCAAAGACATCGAAGATGAGGTTTTTTTTTTTTTTTTTGAGCTTCTTAATCTGTTCGTCGTAATTAATTTTTTAGTACTCAATTCATTCCGAGTGTTTCTATGCTGGCGCGTTATGAAAACTGATGATTACGAGTTTCAGCTATCAGTTATGCCTTTTTGTTTCTATATTTTTGGCGCTTGTTATAGTGTTTTGATATTTTTAGCATACAAATGGCTTCGGAGTGACCTTGTTGTGTTCTTCTCCAGTGTGAGTTTGGCTAAGGCTCTGATTTTATGTAGTTTAGGCTATTATATCTTCAGAAAAACTGTGATGTTTGTATTTGAGGAGCGCAAAAATAAACATTAATTTGGTTGTAAACTAGTCAATGTTACCAACCTATTACTTAACTGACTAGAAAAAGAATTAGATTTTCATCTTTGCTGTATTAGGGGTGAGTCTGATAAAGGACATAAGATATCCGCTTTTTTTCGCGAGCTATTGGTAACTATTAGAGAAGGAACTTAATGTAGTTTTCCCTCATTTCAAGAAGTATAAACGTTACAACTAAATGATATTTGGCTTCCAACTTCATATCTTTCTTAAGTAATGGATACTTGTGTATTTTCTGCCAAGAGACAGGCACAGTGGCTTTGTCAGTTTATTGACCTTTCCTTTAGGAAATGTTTAATCTATGTAAATCATTGTTAAATTGTTGTTTTATGTTATCATTTCCTATTGCATTCATCTTCTGCAAGGTTGCTTTTCAGAGCCAGTTGTCCTTTTCCATAAGTTGAGTTGTTATTGATGCCTTTGCTCGATCATATCTGCAGATGGCAAAGACACAGAAAAATAAAGCTACCGCACATCATCTGGGTTTGCTCAAAGTAAGAAATGTTTCTTATTTTCCTTGCTAATTATTCTTGAATCCTGTTGATTCAACTTATTGTAAATGTTGACTTTACTTCCCTTTTTCTTCATAACAATGCATATCTACTTAGCTTTCCAATGCGTGCATGTTTGGCATGTCTTGATAATTGTCAATTAGCGTGACATTGGACAAATTTGATGATATTTTGATTCTTTTTTTCTTGCCATTGTTCACTGTGTTCATTGTTGTTGATGCTAGGCTAAACTGGCAAAACTTCGAAGAGAGCTACTTACTCCGTCATCGAAAGGAGGTGGTGGTGCAGGAGAGGGATTTGATGTTACAAAAAGTGGAGATTCTAGAGTCGGTCTAGTTGGGTTTCCTTCTGTTGGGAAATCTACTCTTTTGAATAAGTTAACTGGAACTTTTTCTGAGGTATGAAGGAATTCATTTTCACGCAAGTAATGTCTTGTTATTTTATACCTCAAGGATGTGCATTATTTTGTGGACTTGAGGAGATTGTGAATTCAAAATTGTTGACAAATTTTGTGATCAAATGCAACACCTGTGTTACATTAATGATGGAGCCATTGCTTGCTTTCCGTGATTGGTGCTTCTTCTATCTTATTTGTTGGTCAGTTGATTATTTTGCTGGAAACCCTTGGTTAGTTGTGGAAAAGGGATCATGATCTTAGTTGGTTGGCTGCACTGGTTTGTTTTTTTTTTTTGTTTTTTTTTTTGTAGAAAAGTGGTTCCTTGGTTGGTCATATGATTATTTTGCTGGCATAGCTTTGGGAGAATGATTTTGGTTGGATGGTTGCAATAATATCTGTTAAATTGTGGTTGTTAGCTGGCATGGTTGAATTGTTGATAGCCCTTCGCAGATTTACTGCAATAATTTGTTGTTCCAGAGAACTTATTAGAGTTTTGTATCACAGGTTGCTTCATATGAGTTCACAACATTAACTTGCATTCCAGGAGTGATAACATATCGAGGAGCTAAGATTCAGGTACTTGATGAGTGCGTGTATGGAGAATAATGTATATACTCAGTTTTGAGTCTCATTTACTATATACATGCTATTACTGGCAGTTGCTGGATCTACCTGGAATTATAGAGGGTGCCAAAGATGGGAAGGGGAGAGGAAGACAGGTTTGGTTTCTCTTTTTCTATCGTTATCTCCTTGGACTTCATGTAAAGTTATTACTGCATTTGGTGATGGTGTCGATTTATGTCTGTTTGTTTAATAGGAGGAAAGTTGGCTTTTGAAAGATTTAATGTACTCAGTTTCTTGATCTCATTGACATTGATGCAATCATTTCTACACAGTTAAATTGTTTGAATGAATTCGATATCTGCACTTTTGGAAGAAAGCTATATTTCATGAACTTTCAATATAGTGAATTCTCTCTTCTTCTCTTTTTTCCTACTGGAGTCCTGTTTGAGCTTCAACGAATATGGACTTCCCCCTTCTTTTTGCTTGGCTTAATGGTAAAACAAAGATTCCCACTAAAGCCATACCACAGTGTGCATGTTTCCCCTTTTGTCCTTATGTAAGGAATGGAAAAATAAGCGAAAAAGGTAGTTTTCAAACTGCAACTGTTAAAGGCATGTAGAATGCTTCCTATGCCTACTTCAATTCCATGCTAAGAGACCAAGTTCTGCCCTTTATCCGATTTGTTCCTCTTCATCTATGTGATTATTGTCTTTCACCACGAGGCAGAGATTTCAGTAGCTCATAATGGTTTTAACTGCTTTCAACTGGATTTTACGTATTAGAAAGAGAAGTTTAGCAAGATTTAAAGTTGAGTTTTCTGTGAAAATGAATTGTCATTTGTCAAGATGCTCTGATAATTTGTAAAAACAAGGAATTTGATCAGCTTATTTATTAGTTTTTCAGCGGGGTGGGACTCTGAGCAATTTCGGTTAGTGTGCAGGACTGTCCGAGCTTCTTTGTTGTGCAACCTTCTAAGCTTTAATTCACTTTCGCCCCTACAAAGTGCTTTTTGTGTTTGTTAAATGGTTGACATTGATGGTTATAGCCTGTTAATGTGTAAGATTATATTTGATGCCCTATATGGTAGCTGCTTAGATTTGAAAATCTGTGTGTGCTAAAATCAATCAATAATGACGTTGAATGTCCATTCCTTTTGTCATGGGCATTGACATCAAGGAACTTAGTGATGTTCAATCCGGGTTATCATTGTCATGTTGTTGGCTGTTTCCTTTTGTCTAATATGTTTGGAAAATTGTGGATGGATGTGTAATTAGGTATTGCATTTAGTCATCTTTCATAACAGAATTCATGACTAGAGTTGCTTGGGTTGTAACTTGTGCACACTAGGGCTTGAGCAATGACAACTTTTGTGATTATGCTCGTACATTTTAAGCGAATTTTATGCCTGTCTTGTGATATATTCATGCTGTGGTCTTCATATGCAGGTGATCAGTACTGCAAGGACGTGCAATTGTATTCTGATAGTGCTAGATGCAATAAAACCAATCACTCACAAACGACTGATTGAAAAGGAGCTTGAAGGATTTGGTATTAGGTAACTAACTCTCAATACTGCTAGGAATTTAGTTTCCAAGTATGTGGCAGTTGGAAACGAAGTCATAGCATTGCATAGCTTGAGACCATTTTAGATTATTGAGTCATTGGTTACACTAGTCAAATTGATGAAAAGTAAACGATGATTATGCAGACTAGTTTAGTAATTGCAAAAGTTGTTTCGGAAATCATATCTAAAAAGATTTTGCAAGGGTTGAGTTTAGATGTTGTTAGCCCTATCTCGGATTTGTGTTTCTGGATTTCTCTAAACTCTTCTGGTACTGTCATGGCTTAGATATTCTCCTTGATGTCAGCATTTTCATGGTGTAAGAATCATAGTAATTATTGTAACTTGTTAGATATTGCTTTCCTGTATGCTCCTGCTTTATCATGTGGTTCTATTACTATTTTTTGTTTTCATTTTAGATCTCGTGTCATTTCCACTTTTTCGTAGTCTTTTTCTTTTTTGGTGCACCATTCATCTTTACTGACTCTCTGTTTCTGGTTCTTTTTTTTCCAACAGATTGAACAAAGAACCACCCAATTTGACATTTAGAAAGAAGGACAAGGGAGGGATCAATCTTACATCAACAGTCACAAATACGAATCTGGATTTGGACACAGTGAAGGCAATATGTAGCGAATACCGAATACATAATGCTGATATTACTCTTCGATATGATGCAACAGCTGATGACCTCATCGATGTCATTGAGGGTAGCCGAGTCTACATGCCATGTATCTATGTTGTCAACAAGATTGATCAAATTACACTTGAGGAGCTTGAGATTCTAGATAAGCTTCCGCACTACTGCCCAATCAGGTAAGTCTTCAATAATGCACATTTTTTTCTTATGTTTACGATTAATATGTTTGTCCTTTTTGGTAAAGAAATGTATTTGCTTTAGTGTGTTCTTTCTATTTCATTCATAGATGTCCGTGTATACTCCTGATAGATTGGAAAGCTTTCATTAACGATTTTCATTGGTTTATCTGATTGCCTGTATACTTCTCTCATGAGGGATATAAGCATTTAGATGAGAGAAAACATGTGAAATTACTGTCCATAATCAGTCTTATGTACCTTATTTCTAAAGAGCTTTTCATGATTTGATGCCAGTGCCCACCTGGAGTGGAACCTAGATGGTTTGCTGGAGAAGATCTGGGAATATCTTAATCTAACACGTGTTTACACCAAGCCCAAGGGAATGAATCCTGATTATGAGGATCCTGTGATATTGTCATCAAAGAGGAGAACCGTAGAGGACTTCTGTGAGCGGATCCACAAGGACATGATCAAGCAATTTAAGTAGTAAGTCTATGCCTGCATGTTTTTGTACCTGTATGAAATCTTGGATTCTTAAAATGCAATTCATGATGACTGGCCGTTTGACTCTTGATTGTAAATGGCCATATTTTCTTCCGTAGTTTGGCTTACTTGTTCCTCTCTGTACACTTTCTGTGGTTGTTTGTTTCCTTTGAGGGTGGTGTAGGGTTCACTGTTGAGTACTTCTTTGCTGAAATTTGGACATAAATGGGCCACCACATGGCTGCATTTAGCCGTTACAAAATTGAAGAAGACATCCCCCCCCCCCCAAACGAGTCTTTTTGGGTCTTGAATGACGTTCACTTACTGAAAGTTTGTTAACTACTAGTTTGACATGGGGTGGCACTAAATTTTTGTTGAAAATGACATGATCAACAGCCTTGGGTATCCTTTTTTGGTTGTAACATTTATGTTCTGGTTTTGAAGCCATGATAGGTTTCAACTGTTACATGCTTTGCTAAACTGTAGTTTGATGTTATTGCAGTGCGTTGGTTTGGGGTTCTAGTGCGAAACATAAGCCTCAGAGGGTTGGAAAGGTATTTCCATTTCCTCATTGTTGTTTCCTTTTCCATTTGCATCTTGCTTTCCCTGCATTCTTAATCGCTGCAGCGTTGTTGACTCCTTAACTCTTTTTGGATAACTAGGAGCATGAGTTGGAAGATGAAGATGTCGTGCAGATCATCAAAAAAGTGTGAATGGAGAAACCTGTTTCATGCATCGTTTTGTACCTGTTAGCTGACTGTCAGCGAAAGATGTAGCTTGTCATGTAATTATGTCCCTTTTTTTGGCAAGCTATTCTTGGGGCCAATGAGATCATATATTACACTAAAGCCTTCAGGTTGGTTTGTCTGGAAGAGTTCATTGGATTGTGATCTCTGCCTTTTGACAATGTAGCTTGTAACTGAAAAACATGTTTTCGGGGTTTTTTCTTGATGACTAGCATGTGATCTACTTGTTTGGTCTCCCTAGGATCTGAAGAGATTTTGGTTTTGTTGTGCACTTTTTTGTTTGCAGGAGTGTGTTCTTTGTCTCTTTCTAATATACATTGAACTGCATGTATGTATGTTCATCATCTTGAAAATGTCAGACATTAGAGACGCCTTACCAGTTAAAACTCAATTTCTCCCAGGACTCAGAAAGGTTTGGACAGCCTAAATTACCTTGAGAAGAAAATACACTATACGCTTCATAGTAACAGTTCAGTTAGCTCAACCATTTTAGATCAACAAAGGACTTTTTAACAGGTGACGCAAGGAATGGTCTCCAATGAAAAATGTTTTTTTGTGGGCTTCTTATGGTTTAAGAATGATAGTACTAATGCTGCTTAAGCATTCTTTTTTTACAAATCGAAGCGCTAAAAGACTGAATCTCAGAAGATCGTGGCAGCAAGGCCACTCTACCCTTTACAATATCCTGTCGCGTATTTAAGTCGTCTGCAAAGAATTTTACATGCCGCTTGGTGGAATTGCACTATTGGGCGGATAATTCGGCGCTTCCGCCGGATTTAATGCTTCTTAAGCGAGTTGAACGTAAGTTGGATTAACCTTTTTCGATGAAATAGTAACCAAAATGCAAGTTCCATTAAAGTTTTTTAATGAAATACTTCTGGAAACACGCACTAACGCGAAATTTCTCTTTGAATATGTTTTTTTTGCTTGCACTTATAATATTTGTGTATGAAATGATGGTGCATTTTTGTGTCCATGCTTCTGAACGTGGCGATTTCATATGTTTCCGACTCAGGGATTTCTAGGAGGAAGATATATAGTATTAGTACTGGCAAAATTTGAAAACAAGAAATTTTATGAGTTTCTAATTTTTTTTTATATTTATTTATTTTTTTGGTTGATAAAGTGATATCAAAATTACTGGAATCTGTAGTAACATGGTAAAGAATTCCATTACTCCGGTGAGCTTTTACGGATTAGAATGATTGAACTGGGGACAAGATACGACTGAAAGAATCACAACGAATTCGCTAAAATCATCTTTCTCATCGTTATAATCCAAAAAACACTCACAAACTGCTGTCTTGACTCTTGAGGTGGTGAACGGGAACTAAAACAACATTATCCAGGATTATACATTTCATACATATAAATAAGCTACGCCCAATCGCTTCTAGCAAATCATGCTTTCACACAGCAGTTGAAGTACCTGAAGATGCTTCTCCTTCCCTGTCCAACAAAATGAGAGAAGTCTAATCAGAATCCGATAGGTACGAGCGGAGAGAGAAATTTCCCATAAGACGGCAATCGACTTCATTTTGTTACTTATGGAAATTTTGGCAACAAACATCTTGATTCATGCAAACTTAAAGCAACAAAGACTAAGGGATCAATTTCATACGCAATGAGAATGCATCTCATATTTTTGGAAGACATATGACGAAATTCAGAAGAATGAAGAAGTATCACCAACCAATAATTTAGTATAAGCTCTTCTAACTCTTCTAAGTTTAATTAGCACATAGAAGTCATAAAGGTAGCAAGTCTTTGATTTTATATCTTAAGAAAACTTATTGGTTGGTGCACCACCAGAATTTTGTCTACTACTGCTGATATAAGATTGCATGTCTGAGTCATATCCCTCCCACTTGGATACCTTGATTACCTATCAAATATGGCTACCATTATTCATGTGAGGAGGTTGTACTTTCTGAAAAGGACCACATTGAGTCAGTATCATCATCAGATTACCACATGCCAAGCATTAGGTTGTAACTATCAATTGGATGAGACAATTGGAAATGTATCATCACATTTCTCTGTTTTTCCTAATTACCACAAATCTTCAACCTTCAATCACTATCACTACAAGCTTTAATGTTTCCACAAAGCACAATGGCGACACATGACTATTTTAACCAACCCAACGTGTTTGTCGTAGTAAAAATTCACCCAAAAATGAAAGGCAAGATAAGAGGAAATCTTACAGTTGGAGAATTATTCTGATGGAAATGGTGATGATCCTCTGAATGACTGACAGTGTTCGAGTTGATTGTAGCTGAGGATGCAAACTCTTCCTCGTTTCCAAGGCTGGCCCTTGATGGCTCCCTCTTGTTCTGTTTCCGGCTCTCTCTGATTTTAGAGAAATCCATTGAGTAATCAGGCATTACACCACCTTTTTGGTCCCAATCTCCAAATTGTGGAACAGACAGCCAGGGTGTGGTTTTCTGCATCACAGTAAAAATCAAGCCTCAATTTCGATCAAACTTTCACCGTAAGCATCGAAGCAACAATCATTCCATTGACAAGTTAAAATTTTGGTATATACTTACGAATGCATTGTAATGTAAGCCTTTCTTTACCGTAACGTAATCAAACTATTGGAACTACATTATCATTTACTTATCAAACAAGGGGAAGTATCTTGTCATTAGACAAAACGAATCTTAGTTATAGTAGATGAAAAGTCAAGGGTATGCAAAATTTGACAGCTCAGGTTAGACATCACCAGCTAATTCCAAACAATGACAGTAAACAAATTATTGAATCATGGACTTGCATCATATGAAAGTGAAATAAGCCTTCAAAACTGAAATCACCAACTAATAATCAACACCTAAAATGTTGATAAGATTAGGGGTGGGACCTTTGACCAGTTCTAAATGATTATTCAAATCTTGCAGTCAAAATATGAATTTCCAGAGTTGCTGGCGAAAAGATCAAATGGAATTCCACAGATTCATCATTAGGAACTAGAAAAACTCACAAGAACAGACACAAAAGAAACCCAAAATTGTTTTAGTGGATCAATTCTTTTGACCCCCAAACTGAAACGGAGAAGCAGAAATTGCTCGTCTTGCAGAAATGCAGAATTGATACCGATAAACTGCAACATCTAATTAGCCAAGGATCAGATACATCAAGCTAGCATCCAGATTAACTGCAGAATGAACCCTATAAATTCTTTTTTTTTTCCTAGAAAAGAGATTTTCAAGAATCAACAAAAGCATGACAGAGCAAAACATAAAAGACCAAGAACAGAGTAAGAGCTTAGCTTTTTACGCATCAATTTTGCAGGATTTTCTAAATTCAAGAATCAAGTAACACAAAAAAGCTCAAAAACCCACCATCACCAGCCCTTTCAATTCATCAAAAAGCTGTCCTTTTTAGACAAAAAGAAGAGATGCGAGATTGGAAAAGAAAGACCCTTTACCTCCTTCTGATAATCCATGGTATTCAATCTTCGAAAACTCCGAACAAATGAGCAAATTAGCACTGATGGAGAGAGTTTTGCTACAGAAAGTAAAGAGCTTGAAGCAGTAGCAGCAGGCAGCAGGCAGCAGGCAGCAGCCCTTTTATAAATGGAGACTATGGAGTAGTTTTCTTGAAACAGTGAAAAGATAGATTGAATTGAATGCACTCGTTGTGCGTGTGTGAAAAAATTGGTAAATGACAGATGACAATTAAAAGGGTCAGCAGATTACTGGCAGAGGAAAACAAGCTAATAAATTCTGATGGCCAAATTGGAATCCAGAAAGTATTACAAAGACATAATCAACGTTTTAACTTGTTTATATAGAAAGTTAAGCAAAACTACTTTCCAAATCAATATTTTCAAAAATTGAGTATAATATTTGGTGGTGTCTATTACGTGTAGAGATATGGGAAGGATAGTGAATAAACACGGTTTTTGCCAGCCTTATTTTTGTAGGACTTACACTACTGGTTCATGATCATGACCCAACTGTTTCTTCTTCTTCTTTTTTTGCAATTTCTATTTCTGACTTGGCTTTTTTGGGGATCTGGCTTTCCCTTCCCAATAAGGTTCTAATTTTTTAATGGGTTGGAGGGACCAACAATTTGGAAAACTCTTTGAACGATACAAATGTTATAGGGCTAGTACAGCATGTACCATACCAAATTGAATACGTATAGGAAAATTTCATTGTACAAAAATAATAATAATAATAATGATTCGTATAGGAAAATTTACAGAGAATTTTAATTGTGATGATTGTAATCGTCTATACTTATATCTTTTCTTTTTAGATTTAACCATTTAAAGATTAGAGAATAGTTATGATTCAGTCACATCATTCCCTGTTAAAGTTTCTTATAAATTTTTTCTACATATATCAACTCTCATACCAAATTTCTACATTCTGTGGACAGGAAACCAAAGTAACATTTTGTTCTAGCTAGTACTATGATGAAATTCGAAAGTATATCAAGGTGATTGGGTAAATTATTGTGTAAAAGGATTAAATCGTGATTTATGAATATGATTCATTTCTTAATTATATTCATCGATTCGTTATGCGAGCTTAAATTATCTTCCGAACTCTGCATTGAACATCAGGTATACTTTAATTCACAGGTTTATTGTTAAAAAGATTATGATTGTAAAGTTCCCATACAAAGAAACTACTAACTTGTATGATGAATTATGGATGTTTCTACCATTTGTCTCCCCCACACCCCCCGTAATGGATTAAGAATGTCCTTTTGAACAAAGTTAAAAAGTACAGAAAAAGGTGACAAAAGCCTTGTCCCCCCTCTTTCGTTGATCATTTTCTTTGGTTGTGAACAACTCCTTTCTTCTTTTTTTTTGGGTTCCCATTTTAAAGTAGTATATATTATGTCTTGTCAAATCTTCATTTTCCCGAAGATGGACGTTATTTAACCACCAATGTTGATTGAATCCACCTTTCGGCAATGAGAGATACCAAGGGACTGATTGCATGGAAAGACACCACGAAATACTTTGGAATGACAGGATGGACCAACTTTTAGGTGTCTTGGAATATAATAAAATCAGTATTGTGATTTGTGATGATGTGATCAACTGATTATTTTTTTAAGTAAAAACATCGTTTTGCGGATGATTTTGTACGGGAATATGTTATAGAAAAGATATACTACCATGTCTAGTTTTGACAAATTCCAAATGGTATAAAATAATAGAAACTGATGCTTCAGATATAGAATATGGTGGAATAGTAAAACAAATATGTCCTGATGATAAACAAGAAAAATTGATAAGATATTACTCTGGAAAATGGACTCAAAGTCAGAAGAATTATGCTACAGTTGCTAAGGAAATTCTTGCAATAGTTAAATGTATTTTGAAATTTTAAGATGATTTATATAATCAGAAATTTACGGTTAAAACAGATTGTCAATCAGCAAAATATATCTTTAATAAAGATTTTAAATATGATGTTTCTAAGCAAATGGATGCTAGATGGCAAGCTAATTTAGCTCCTTTTGATTTTGATATCGTATACAAGAAAGGAAAAGATAACAATCTCCATGATTTTTTATCTCGTGAATTTTTACAGGATTATACCACGAGGAAATAACCATTTCAGAGGTCGAGGGGGAAGAGGTAATACCTCCTATGGAAGGGGTCATATCCTTTCACAAATTGGAAATAAAAAATTAATATATGCAAATATTACAAATATTGAGAAAGATGACTCATTATATGAGAAATTTATGAAGTTTATAGAAAAAGAAAAACAAGATGAAGAAAAAAGAAAAGAAAATGGAGAATCATCCTTTACTACTTCATATGCTGAAACAGTAATGGTTGAAGATAATATTATTTTTTACCATGCTAATAGCAACAAGGATATTATATTCTTTATAGAAGAAAAAGATTTGCAATGGGAAAAAGATCCATGGATTTTAATAGCAAGATATTTAGATACAGCATCATATACTGCTACTTCATATAAAGTAAGGTCATACTATGAGAATATACTAAAAGCCTCAAATTCACGTTGCTGTCAGAACTGGATCTGCATCATAAATTAATGCAGGCGTTTCGACTTTCTGTCGACGTTCATTTTCAAAATACTACAACACTCGTTTAATTGCTTCTTGTTTTTCTTTTGCTTTCAACAACTCACCCTCCAATTCATTTGTACTCAAAACTCTCAACTGGTCAATTGTCTTCATTGAAAACTTCTTCAATAGCTGGTGCGGCTGGCAACGGCCTTAACACATTATAATTGTATGGCCTATTAACTTTTTACCAAAGCAATTTCCATTCTGGAAGATTCATATCTCTACGCATAGTGGCCTGTTTCGGCCGACCATACTTGTCCATACCTATAAGACGATACGGACCTACTTCATTATGATAATAGTAAGCCTCTACAGCATTGGCTTGTGCTGCGAATGGACTTGTTTCGGCTGCAATTATTTCTGGACCCTCTGTTCCCCACAAAATAATCGCCTGATGTAGAGAAAAAGGAACGCATCTTGCCAAATGAATCCAATCTCGTCCCAAAAGAGCGTTGTAGGAAGCCTTAGTGTCAACTACAAAGAATTCTGATACTGCCATCTGCGATCCCACTTCAACTTGCAATGGTAGAATACCTTTGGTACTCGTGACATCTCCTGTAAATTAACTCACAAAAACTTCAGTTGGCACTAAATCTTTTAATTGCTTACCTAGTTTAGGTAAGGCCCATGTAGGTAGGATGTTTATAGCTGCGCCATTATCCAGTAACCCTCGCCGTAACGGGATTCTATCCATTACTGCACAAATATACAATGGCCTGATATGAGAATCGGAACCTTCTACTGGTTGAGAAAGCATAATAACTGGACTCTTTCCTTCTTGTGACATTAACTGAATACTACCAACTGTAATATCATATGGTTTCGTCACAAGCAAAGTTGCTTCAGGGACTGTAACTTGGTCTGCAACAGTTGTAGGAACTAAGGCTGTCGCAGGCTCGCATGTATAGGGCTTTTTAAACAGAAAGATTTCGGCAGTGTATAAACCATGTTTACCGGCGGGAAATAAATATTTGATTTTCCCCACCATTGTGACCGCCTTTCTTCTTGTCCTGAAAATCTGATTATCGGCATTTGTTGTTGAGTTAGTGGTTCACTCTTTGCAAGTGTTGTCTCCCTTTCTGTTTCTGCCCTTGTTTGCTTATTCATAACCCATTGCCATCAGTGTTTCTGAGTCCTAGTCATCTTTGCTCTTGTCAGTGGTTGATTAGGAAATTTTAGGTGAACCACACGATGCCATTCTTTGTCATGTATAGGCGCTGCTCTAACTGCCCTTGGCACATTACTCTGTAGAATCGGCCTTTGAATTTGTCGCCAGACTGATGGCCGGTTATCCTGAGCATGGTGTTGTTTATCAACTCTGGCATTAATGGTAGGATTCCCTAATCTAGCATGCACATGTAATCATTGTTGAACTGGAGAAATTGCTTGATGTATTTCCGCATGTTGTGCATTCGGTTGCCAATTCTGATTCAGAGCACTCAAAATAGCATCTGATACAACCCTTAACTTTTGTTGCTCTAGTTCCAAATGCGTTTCTTTTTGTACCCAAGTCTGCGTTTGTCTGTTTATCACAATGTTTACTTCTGTTGCAGCTGGGCATGAACTCTGTTGGTGTAAATGCCCTCCGAATTTAGACCCTAACTCATGAAGCTGTCTTTTCACCTTGTTAAAGACTTTGTCACAATCCTGGCAACCAGTGATTAAACATGTATCCGAAGCATGACCTCCTAATCCTACATCAACCATCCGAATTTGGTGTTGTTGCGGAAAAGGATTGGTATTCATTTCAACCGGATATTCCACTATCATATTGCCATCATCAATCATCTTCTGGAGCTTATTGCCGAATACTACACAATCATTTATGGTGTGAGTCCATAATATATGGTGCTTGCAATAAGTCTTTCCCGCTACATCCGCTGGCCTTGGTCGCCGGTATCCTTTCTTGTACTGAGTATAACCTTTCTTGAACATATCATAAAAAATGGCCTCTTGTTGCGAAATGTCAATAGAATAAACTCGCCCTATATTAGCTCCGTCAACTTGTCCTGGAGTCCCTGCCGGTGGACCTACTGGTGGGGGAGTATCATAAGAATGTGGGACCGTGGGTTGACGTAATGCGTCACAAGTATAATTGCGTAAATTGAAAATTTTGGTAGCATTGACGTCATATTTATCGTCATCTTCATCATGAACCCAATGACTCTGATTCACCTCTGCTACCGGATTTTTGTTAAACCATTGCTTTGCCTTCCCTTGGTTTTTCTCACATTTGTCCCGGATTACCTTCTCACTTCTTCTTACAATATCCGCTAAATGATTCAAAGATCGGACGAAGAGTGGTGCAACAGCTAACTTTACCTTGTAATCTTGAATGCCTGCAACCGCCATCTTAACAATAGTTGGTTCTTCACATTTATCAGGTATATTAGCATACATCTGACGAAACCGAATCAAATATACTTCTGTAGTTTCTCCAAACTTCTGTCGGATCTTGGATAGATCAACAATTGATAATCATGCAGTATCCCTATGGAAGTATGATAGGAACTCTCTCTGTTGAGTTTCCCATGATGGAATAGACCCTGGTGCCAATGATCGATACCAATCAAAAGCAGTTCCCTTTAAGGAGTAAGGAAACAAACATAACTTGATTAAAGCGCTGATGCTCACTGAACCACACTGCAACTCAAATAGACTTATGTGATCTTCAGGTCTCTTCTCGTCTTCCCCTGAAAATTGTTGAAAATCAGGAATCTTAAAGTTTCTAGGCAATGGTTCCCATTCAACAAAATCAGGATAAGGTTTCCCCCAAACTTCTGGAATCTCAGTACCCAATTCCTTACGAACCATATCTTCTACCATCCTTGAAAATGTTTCTCCAGCATGTAAAGTCTGTTCAACCCCTACTTCAAAATCCTGTTGCTGATTGACATTCACTGTTGCATCTGGCTCTTGCCGAAATTCATTACCGAGATCACTTTGTGACGACCACCTCTTTAACCCCAAAAACGTTGTTGATGTGGGTTGTGTCGATTTCCAACAGGTTGATCAGCAGCTTGTGCTCTATTTCTATTCAAGATATGATTTCCTTCGTTTTCCATCCATTGCTGTTCTTTCCTATTTTCTTCTACTGTTGGATGTGGTGGAGCAATATGTGGGTTAGCAACTACAACGTCAGACCCTTGGCGTATGTGTGAATCGGCCAAATTTGCACTTGCATTATTATTCCCTGACATTGGCAGAACAACCCGATTTTGGTATAATATGAAACGGCAGTCATTACTTCCTTGTGCTTTTTGACCAGCCTCTCCTAAACTTTCAACAGCATGGCCCTGATTACTTCCTGCACCAGTATAGCCTTGGTTGGTTCCTGCACCACTAGAACCCTGAAGACCAGGTTCCAACGTCCCTTGCGGTCCATATGTTATCCTGGGAACACCGTCTTGCCCAATCAATTGAGGTGGAACCATCATTGGTCCTTGTTGACGCCCATCGAATGTGAAATTCCCTGGCAACGGAATGAATGCAAGTTGACTTGGAATCATCGGTTAATACCAACTATGCGTCCCTTGCCTTGCTGCATTTGATACAGTTTGCAATCCATTATTTCTTGACTCTTTTCCGGTATGCTGTACCGGAATTTCTGTTGCAGACGGTTGGAATATAGCATTGTATAATGGATTGTTTACCATGTCAACCGGTGGTAATTCTACACGTGCTGTTCCTGTAGTTGTGTTACTTCTCCTCACTGCAGATCCACTGGAACCAGCACCTCCTGTGTTTGCACTATGATCAATTAACCTCTGGAAAGCGTTTTCAAATTGTTCCACCTGCGCAGCCATAGTATGTTCTACTGATGCGAACCTTTGGTGCACCATTTCGGGAGTTACTAATGGAACCTGATCCGTTTGACCTTGGTTTTGGAATACTGGAACTTGGAATAATGGACTTTGAATACCTGGAGTCTGAAAACCCATGCTTCAGTAAGACCCGAGAAAACTGGACCTTCCTCCAAAAAGACTTGATCCAACATTAGACTGTTGCTGGTTAGATTGTCGCCCTATCCCGGTTGATTGATTTGTTATCATCGTTGAATATGAATCTATCGCCGAAATATATAGGGCAATATTCATCGGCATAGAACTCCCACTTGGCGTAGAAGTCTGAATCGGCATTGAAACTTGTCCTGATGACTGTATTATTGTTGACGACTGAGGCATCGACATCGTCCGTTTGCTCTAAATAACGACTGGAACACGTAAATTGATTCCACTGGGCGTGCCAAATTTTATGTTTGAGTCAAAATTGTATTTGAAAGTAAGGATCGACTCGGCTCAAACTAATTTCAAATGATTGTGTGATATTTTCGAAATTCAGAGTCCAACCGTTAAAACTGCACAAAAATGTCAATGGCTTTGATTCGTCACAAGATTGAGTTGATAAATGTTCAATGACAAAATAATTAATAATTCTGTGAGAATGAATAAAACGGCCAAATGAAGTCAGTTTTATTGAAATTAGGAGAAACGAATCGGCTATGAACAGCCTGAAATGTCAAGGGATTTACAAAGATCAAGACTAAAACATAAAAGAATACATGAAGTTTGAAAAATAAACGATAAAAGCTATAAAAGAAATGAGATTCTGATTTCTGTGTGATCAATTGTGACTAGAGTTGTCTTTTCGGTCGTCCCTCCTTTACAGCTTTTATAGGAAATTCGTCAACTCTAGTTGGAATGCAATCGAAGTCAAATTCTATTAGAACTTCTGTTGCGATTGGAATCCTTCTCTTACAGGGATTGTGGCATCAAAGGCTCCCTCTTGCATTCGGATTTTTTTCCGCGTTACTGCTTCAACGAACATGGTGGGCTTTGACCGATTTTATCTCTCCTACTAATATTGTTGCTGCGATCGGTCAAGTCTCATGTGGACCGACTTTGCTAAAATTGGTCCAACACCCTCCGTCCCAAAAAAATAGTCTGCATTGAGTTTTGAGTTTTGTACTGTTTTTAGTATAAATTTAAAAACTCAATGTAAACTATTTTTTTGAGACGGAGGTAATATTTTTTTTTTTATATTTCTATATGAAAATAACTATTTAAAGAATTTAAAATTGTTTTATGTCAACAGTTGAGCAACTTACAATGAAGAATTAGTGTATCCTTATTATTCAACCACAATACTTTGATTAGTGTGCTACTATACTAATTTTTAAGATCATGAAAATCTACAAAAATGTATCGTGGGAAGAGGTGAAGTGAAGTCTAATCATAACCAAGGCATGTGATAATGTAAGGATACATTATCATAGTACTAGTCCTTCAAAACCACGAAGTTCTAAGTTCAATATCTACTTTGCGAAGTTAAAATGACCAGTTTTGTTTCGTTGGTTCTCTTCTCACGACTAAGCATGCAATTCCAGTCTAGTTCTATTTGAAACCCGCAGTTACCGCATAACTCAATTTTAGGTCTGAGATTCAGTTCTTTGTTGCTTCGATTTGTAATAAATGGTGAGGAAAAAATTTTCAATTTCAGCTCTCCTACCAAAAATAAATTTTTTTTTAAAAAAATTATTGTGTCCGTTACCTCTTCCTATTTTTTCTCTGTTCCTTTTTTTTTTTCAAAGCACATAAACCCTCACCCTATGCATAAAGTAATGCAGGTAATCCAGAAAAATACAATTCTTAATTTAGACAAGATAGTTCTCATTAGTTTTTTCTAGAATAATATGCTCAATTCAACAAGAAAAAAGAAATAGTGATAATATTAATATCCCATCCATTTTTTAAATTTATAATTATCGAGAACCAGTTGAATACCACATAATGCATGGAATGACAGGGTGGGTCAAGAATCTTTAAAGAGAGCATTTAAATATGGAACAACATTTTTTTATTTTTTTGAAATATGATACTAGATTAATTGTCTTTTACAAAATCAATTATTTGTCTTTGGGGTACTAAAAAAAATATTCTTAAGTACTCACCGCTTCTCACCTAACAGTGTCAAATGTTGTCCAAACATTAAATTAACAAGAAACAACATTTGCAATCAACAAGAAACATCTCAATATGTTCCTACCAAACTTTTACAACAAATAGGAAATAATGATCATTTGAAAGATTGATTGAATTGTCGGTCTCTAATTCTATGCACACAAAAAAAGTTTCCTCAGAAACAAGCTAAAAACAACACAATCCAAATGTTGCATTAAAATATTTTTACGTAGAGAATAAAAATATATCAAAAGGGACAATGACAGAGTCATCAGAAAGAATAAACAATATATGATACAGATGGATCTTTTAATCATTGTCAAACTGGAAGAATCTCTATACAATGTTTTCGACTAGCAGCAGATTCTCCGATTGCCTTGTTGATATTCTCTCTGTCCCAAAATTATTGTCCAATTTGATATTTCACTTTTACTACAATTTGAACTAAAATTGAAAACTCAAATTGGACAATGATTATGGGACGGAGGGAGTATTATCTTCCCATTCTTAAATTAAACTCATTCGTCCCATAATGAAAGTCTCATTGTTAAATTAAAAACACTTAATAAACGAAAACTTTTAAATCTTATTTCATTCTCGTTAATGAAATCAAGAGGAACGAGAAAATTACTACAGTGTTTCTTGGAACATACGTAATTACTATAATGTGACGGAGGAGCTAATTCATAATTTCATATGGCTTTTAAACTGCGAGATCCAGCCAAATTAAGCTTACTTAACATACTATAATACTATTGCTAATCACTAATGGAATTAAAACCCAATCAATCTTAATTACTTGGCTACAAGTAGGATATACTAATATGCTATTTTTTCTTCTCTTTTTACCTTTTGTTTTTGGCTTTTATCATACTCATCAGTCATCATACTATATTATAATTACAGAATAATTTCTGAAATTTGGTAGTCCTTCCTACTTATTTGTTTGGTTAATTGTTTCTGCATGCAATTCATCAATTTTGTAGTCTCTTATTTAATTTGGTTAAAAGCATGTTTCAATAAATATTTTCTCCTATATATTTTATTATTATTATCTCACTTATTACTATTATGTTTAACCTTATAATAATAAAATTAGCTCCCTTATATCTAAGTTTATAATAATAAATGGTCCTTTATTATCAAACAATATAATGACCCTTTGATTTCTGTTTCATTAATTTTTCTTTTTAAGATTACAAAAAATTATTTCTCATTATTAGGTGAATTTGATCAATCAAAATTTTTTTTTGATGCTTCTAACAATAAAATTTTATTTTTAAGATTACAAAAATAATTTCTCATTATTAGGTGAATTTGATTGGTCTAAAAGTGATTTTGGTAATTCTAACCTCTTTGAATTCCTTAATGTCTTTTCTTCTTCTCTTGCTAGATGTTAAACCCGCACGATGTTCGGGGTTTATTCATATACATTTATAATATATTTCAAAATTTTAAATATGATAAATACAAATAAAGTAAATAGTTCGTAATAATAGATGGAGTGAACCTTATGTCGTTATCGTAAATAAAAATATTACATCTTCTATGTGGTGGTAGTATTCTATAGATTGTACGGAGAAAATGTAATAGTAATGTAATAATACAATGAGTATAATACAACTTAAAAGTAAATAAAATCACTAAAAAAATAAACAAATATGTTGCATGTCATACGAAATAGAAAAATTTTATAACTACAAAAACAATTAAAGACTACTGCCAAGGTTTATGTAATCTACTTTTGATTTATTGAAATTGTCTTTATTATCAAGTTATCGATTTTACTGCAAATAATTATGTTTTCATGTATTTTGTTGTTCAATAATCAATCAATATTACTCAATTAAAACAAACGCCCAAAAAAGATAAAATGATGAGGTGTCGTGCTCTCATGAAACTTTTTCCCTTCAAATAATACTACATCGTTTTGCTTAAAAGTAAATTTATACTTTATCATTAAAACAACTATTAAAAAGAAAATAAAAGATAAAAATCATATTGTAATTAAAAACTTTCCTGTCTAAAATATATTAAGTCAATACTGCAAAATTTTCAAGAAAAAAACTCTAACTAATTACAATTAAAATTAGCCTTTAATAAAATAATTGTTTGCGAGAAAAATTTTAATAATTTGTTGTGCTCCCATATGATCTTTTTCACCACTTCGTAGTGGGCTCGATCATCATTTCCCTTTTTTTGGCTTCCCTTTTATCAAACTCTATTGCACTGTGCTATAACGAAAATATATATATATATATATATATATATATATATATATTGTAACATCCCAGCCTCATAGATTGGCCCAACAACTTTCAGGCTTTTCGTCCTCGCTAGCCCGAAATGGTTAACCCAAGTTGTTAGTAGTTTATGAGGTTGAGACTTATATACAGGTCATTCACTTTGTCAAGTAATAATGTGGGACAGGATGTAGTGTATATATATATATATATATATATATATATTTATATATATATACATATCACGTTAAACACACCATTACGATAAATAAATTGTTACAATTTTTTTTTATTTTTTCCCGTCGTACCTTCCAAAGATGAAATTTAAGGGACTGCTAAAGCCTCTATCAGCGCAGGATCAATCTGAAGTGAAGTTTTTCTCTCATAAACATTGTTTATAGTAGATCTTGCTAATTAATACTCTCTCTCCTAAAATGATTGTCTATTTTAGATTATTTTTTTTAGTATTATTTGAACTAAAACGAAAAATCAAAAACAAACCATCATTTCAGAATGAAGCAAGTATATAAAGCTCTAAATTGTAACTTTTTCGCCACGCATATATGATTTTTTCCTTTTGGGACTTAATTTGGGTGGTGGAAGTTGTTTGTATCGGTGAAGGTATAGTATGTGAATTTTTGTGATGTTGTGCGGCTGGTTGAGGGGTAGGAGGAAGCTATGTTTATACTGTGCGAAGAAGGTGTTAGGATTTATAGTTAGTTTTTTGGATGAGAATTG